AGCTTGCTATGCTTAGCCTTCTCAATTATCACGAGGCTTGCTGGTGAGCTTATTTTGGCATAAGCCGATAAGTTGCGGCTTGTAGGAAGGCTTAAACTGGACCTGTCCCTGCAGGCAGACGGCAGCCACTGCATGTATAGAGCAACCATCGAATTGCTTCCGTATCCAATAACCATGCCGCAAAGGAGCGCTCTTTTCTCTCTTTTTTGGATTGCAAAGCACTGTACATATCCAACCGCTTGATGAATTCTTCGAGTAATTTGCCGTCGGTAGGGCCAGGTCTGCGTATCCTCACCGACGCATTCATTAAGATATTATCGGCTGACAAATCATGTATTTCCATCAGCGATGGAGCTATTGAGTTGCCATTAGCTCGCAGGCCGCGCTGTGCCGCCTCAACAAGAATTAAGCCACCGTGAACACACCTCGCTAGAGAGCTTTTTCAGACTTTTCCTAAAAGACATCCTTTTTACAAATAGCTTTCCTGGAGTAAGAGCACTTTCATGCAAACATAGCATCACACTACACCCATATCCTGTGAATGATTGGTGAAGAGCTGTATCGAATCTTTGCTTGCTACCAAATTCAAGCCTCCTTAAATGTGGAGGCACACATAGCTCCAGAATCAGTATAAACGTAATGGGTAGTATGGAGTAGTTTGTGAAAGAAGTCCATCCCCTGCGCGCGCCCTTTAGGGTTCCCGAAATGTGAGAAGAGGGACAGCTAGGCTGCACGCAGATGAATCCAAAGCTCTCCCACCTTTCAAAGCTAGCTGCACCTAGCACCCAGCGCACACACAACACAGCACTGATTTTAACAAACTGAGCAGATGCTGCTCTGCAATAATACATCCTACAAACAGCTAAACCAAATGGCCAACCATTTTTTTCTCTAGTATAGATTCTTACTTTGGGAGTTGTAGACTTTTCTCGGCTCAGCCCTTTACAAAAACTCTCTTACATGCTCTACAATAAGGTGTACATATGAACGGATCATCAAGCAGGCATTTTGTTCCTCTGAGGCTTTTCGACTCTTTACCCATCCGCGATTATACGGGAAAATGTTGGCCTTTTGGAGCAACCAGCTGAGAAGCTTGATCGGTGGAGCAGCAGGCATATAGCAAGCTTGTAAATGGGAAAAAATCGTACCCAGCTAAAGGAGCTCTAACAAGCAAGTCTACGGACAGCTGCTATTGTACTTTGGCGACAAATAGTGGAAAGAGGCTGCCTTGGCTGGCCACAGGGGCTTTCCCCGATTACACCGACCAACACAACTAAACTAACTGAAAATCTTTCAAATGGCTGTCTAGTCCAGCTGGATATACAAAAAACTACGTAAGTATATAGTGCGCAGAAGCAATGAAATGATGCGTATGTTTGGGTTCAAAAAGATGGCAACGATGGAACTAGTCATCTGGGCGGTGAAGCCAAGTCGCCCCTGATGCTGTGGAAGTTCTATTTACAGCAGCAGCACGATCGGTATCTTCTCGTAGAAACGGCTGGCCCGTGCACAGACACAGCGAAGTTTGCAACACCCAGGAATCCAAATACAACTCGCAAATAGAGCCACTTCAAAAGTCAGCAACATAGTATGCATTGGAGGCGTGCTTAGGGACGAACGTGAATCCCACAGGTGGAGGCCCCAGGAACATAGAAGATATGTCAACCCAGTCCTGAAAATGACAAAAAGACAGCTACAAATGTAATGATATGTTGGCGTCCACATGTCAAATACATTGCCACATCCAGACTTTCTCCTGATTGTTAGTTACAGTATAACAGCATTGAGTCCCTTAAAAGCACTACTTTGGCATGTGCTACTGCATCGCTTTCTTACATATAAAAGCGATTCCATGACTCTTATATCGATTATAGTATGGTGGTTGGTATGACCTGTGGGTTGGAGCTTGATAGCTTGACTTCAAGGTCTGATCTCCCTTTGAAGGGACTCGGACGCCAGTGAATAAGCTGCGGTTGCAGCTCCAGAAATGGAGGCGGGATATAACGGTGCGTGAATGACAGGAACTCCAGCAGGAACCTTCTAGTCGTCGCAACGCCTCGCCGGTCACTGCCCCAATGTTCTAGGCCGTTATTAACAAACTCCTGCCGGTTTGTAATACAAAGCAACATAAAACGCAAAATGTCATGAGCAGCAAATGACAAACAGCCCGATTCAATAAAAGCATTCTAAAGCCCGTGCGATGCCTTTGTAAGTTTTGTTTGGCTGGAAAAGATATGTATTTTTCGAAAAGTTAAATCTGCACCTTGGTGAACTGCAGTGCTGCGAAGATTGCGAAATCGCAATGAAAGCTTACCGCTACCCAGTGTAACAGAACAAGTCAATAAATCAGCCCTAACATCTGACTGAATGCAATCTATGCCAGTGTAAGTGTTGGACATGAGAAGTTGATGAAGATCTATTCAGGTGTAACCGCCATTCGATTCTCACCTTAATAAACTCTAGTCGTTCACAGGCGGAGATATCCCACAGCCGTTGTTCCTTGATCTCGGTGAATATCCACGGTTTAATAAGGGCACCTCTTCCGATCATCAGTGCATCTAGTCCTGATGTTTGCTCCCGGAAGCGAAATTCATCGTTACTAAGAATATCCCCACATCCTGAGGCGGCGCAGAAAATTGATAGATTCCTCAAGTGAGCGTTACAGAGGATTGTGCATGGATCAATGTCAAGAAGCACACTTCAAGCTGCAGCACCGGCATCGACTAGAATAGAAAAGCTGCTTCAGGGACAGCTGCCCCTGATAAGAATACTCCTTGCGCGACCACTTGAACGCCACGGAATGCGTGGTACTGCATGATCCAGCGCGTCCGTACGGTGCGCCAGTCGCTGACCAATCAGCAATACGTCTTCCGGCATAAGTTTCTTGCAACTCGTGAGATAACTCCAGTCTGCAGCCTTGGAATAGCGTTGCTGTGCCGTGCGGCCATGAGCAAATATTGCAGCTACACCTGATTTCGAAAGTCTGTAAGCGCAAATCAAGGTCAGCCAACCACTGGGGCCTGTCAATTGCATGCAGAACTTATATACGCACAAGGCACCACACTGACAAAAAAGTCGATTGGAAGCGTTCAAGGGCAGTTAGCATGAACTTGCGAAATCCCATTTCACATCCATTGATCGACGTTATGAATCGAAAAGGCTAACCACACAGAGCTGAATCAAACAATTACTTCTACTTGGAGCAGACCGCACGTATCTAGGGAGTATCATCGCCAATCCTCTTGCCTGGACATAATGTAAGGAGTTGTAGCAGGGTCTTAGCATGTGATTTTACTTCTCAGCAGCTCCATTGCACAGCCTTACCTTTCAATTACTGTGTGGAGCTGATGCTTCTTCCCGTAGTGAGCCGTACGGACCTTCATGGTCACAGGAACTGATGGGCACGCCTCTATCAAGGACTTTACGACTGATTCGACCACCGCTGGCCTTTCTAGCATGCAAGACCCGGCTGCAGCGCCCATAAGCAAAGTTCAAAGTCGAAATCCTCCATCCACATAACGAGATGAATTCGGGAATTATTGCCCTGCAGATTAGCTCAAGAGCGAGAAGTCACCTACACAAAATAAGGGTGATATATAGGCAGCGTAATGGCAGATGCTCAAAAGAGTCAACTTTGAACCAAAAGAATGCTCTCGATTGTTTCAATGTGTAAGGAAACAACCTTTCACGTGGACTGAGCAAGGGCACTTATTAACTGACCCGCCAACATACAGCCCGCCCTCTTATGATGTAAAGGGATGCACTAAACATGGGTGAATCATGGAAAGCTGCTGACCCCTAAATTTCCTGTGCAGTTGGTCCAGGGGGCAGGCAATATTTAAATCGATAAAGTCGCACATAATGTGTCGGTTCCGGATGATCTGGCCGCACCTTAAACACAAGGTTCACAATAAGGAACACTGTTTTCCATATGCAGCAGTATATCCATGAGGAGCTATAGTGCTGGTGCCTTAAGTAACTTAAGTGGTCTCCAAGAGACCCCAAAACATTCTAGACCCCTTAAAACCACAAATAGCCCTAACGATCGAAATTGCCCTACTCGCGAGCTACATCCGAGAACCCCGCCGCTAACTGGATCCCGAAGATCTTCTCGGAAACGTGGCGACTGCAATATGCACACTCGCATTACATTGCATCAGAAGCTGCCCCATCTCCGGAAGCAGCCCAAGCACCTGCTTATAATATAGATACAGATTCTCTAGGCAAGTGCAGCTGCCTGCCGGAGAAAAAGTGTACAACGAGTCATTTCAGACCCACCGCAATAAGCACAACTCGGAGGGCTTCCCCTCTGCAATGGAGTTAGCTACAGCCATCTCGCTAACCTGCAACAATTCAGTCGCAGCATCGCCAATCTCGCTAATAAACAAGAGCCAATGATCTTGGCGCTTTACATACACATAGGCCTGATCTACGCTACTCCGTATCTATTCCCTTGCTCTCTCGAAGGAGGCGGGGAAACAGTTTAGGATATTGTCCGTTGCAGCACGCGTGTGAAGGAATCAACGTCTCACTGTAACGTCAGCACCGAGGCGTGTGCAAAGCCTCCTAAATGGTAAATTTCCAACTGTTGTTAACGGTGCGAGAAAAATTTTGCCTCTGGCTTGTGCTGCAAATCGGAGCCGACGCTCTTCTGCCCCAACATCTTCATCTCCTCCGGCCACCGCGCCTAGACGGAGCACCGATGGTAACAACCCTTCAACTCCTTGGGGCCCTCTGGCCCCGTCGGATTCTTCGTGCTCCAAAGGATGCGCAGGACACTCTAAATGATCTTTTAAAGAGATATGGGGCCCTCCTGCACTGCTTTCCCCAGTACGTGGTGCTGATGCACTTGCAGCGCCATTTTGGCTGTGGGCAAACCTGTATCGTCGGCGCTTTGATCCTATGGACAGTTTGGACTGATGGTCGAACACGTTCAGCTCCTGACGATTGCGCATCTGCTTGTAGTCTTGTAAATCAGAAAGGGTGACTGGGCTCCCGCTGCGGAGAAGATTGATACCTGAACAGAGCAATGCAGATTAATGATCTTGTGTTGCGTAAGGATTCTGATTGCATCATGAAAAGCATGTATTTAAATGATGCCCCATGCCCTTTTCTCAGAATATAAGTAGAATTTATACAAAGGAATGTTGTCGCAGTGACCGTAGAGATTCCTAGGACTAGCTGTTGTGTGCGCAAAGATAGGATGTTTCCACAAGCAAGTTAAGGATTCAAAGAACAGCGATACACAGCTTTACTTCTCCTCAGGAAAGTTAAGTTCAAGATAAGACAAGCACATCCCCACTCCCTGTGACACTCGCCGAGAGGCCCTCTCCCCCCCAAGCTCCCCCGTAGCCAGTTTTCCAGTACCCAGAGGCGCCCACAGCAAACAACCAAAGCCAACGGACGGCATCACATCACAGAGCTCAGACGTGTCTGCTCCATACCCTAAAACTGCAGTACAAGCTAACCACTAGTGTATACACAGTAAGCGTATGATCCTATATCATCGTTACACTGAGGCAAAGAAATTTGTTATTTGCTTACAATTATCAACGGGTCAGCATCGTTACGTTTGAGATAGGGCCACTGAAAAACTTGAATATCAGACTCTATAATAAAGAATAGAGAGACAGTGTTCGTAATTCGTAAGTTAAGTTGAACCATGGTGTTTCCCTGATCACGGCTCACACTTACCAGATGGATCCAAGTGAGAACTACCAAACCGGCAACAGCAGCCGTATGGGCAAATGCCGTAACGCAAGAAATAGATGCATTCCCCCTTCAAATCGTCAGGTCGGTTCTGTTACAGCGGCGCAACGCAACAAGATCATACACCTGGATTAGGAATGTAGGCTTTAAAGCAGTAGACATTTTATACAGCACAGCTACTGATGCCGAATATTCAATGAAATACCAATATTCTTAGGCTGAGAGGACGAACCTTCATGAACGCTGCAATATCATGATCCTTGCTGCAGTTCGGGGTGGTGCATGAGCCACAAGCTGCTTGGGAAACACAGAGTGCCTGAACAGCAAAACCAGTGTTATAACCAAAACCGATTGTAGACCGAGCAGCCGGCCCTTCAGTGCTGCAATGACAATGTACAAATGACTGTAGTTTGTCCCGCCGCAGAAGGTACAAGTGTTTTCAATATAATCTTTGCACTGAAGAGAAATAGAGGCACTCCCAGGGATTCATCGTACTCAGCGAATAGAACATGCTTACGTTTCCCGCACACTCTCTGGAGATATTTTCAATATTTTTATGACGCATTGCTGCTGTATTTAACCCCCGCCTCTTCTTAGAGCCCTGCACTTCACAAACGGAATTCTTGTGGCTTTCGCTAGGCTCGCCAGTGCTCGCCGAGCTAGAAAGAGAGCCTGAATCATCTTTTACTGCATCCAACAATGGGTTGGCCAATCCCGGAATTTCTTTGCGCTTCCCGACGCCTTCCCTGGACTGCGGAGTAGTCTTTACTGCACAAGCCAAATCACCTGCCGCGCGAATAGCAGAAAATGGAATATTCGGTGAAGAGATATCTGCTGAGGCCACAAACTCAGAAGAACTTGCCCCCCCGTGAATATCATCCACGGTCCCTGATCCCCCGCAAGCCTCCCTGTCTTTGCTGGTGTTTGACGGAACGCCTTCGCCGTTAGTCAAGTGCAAAAGGTAATGAAGCGGAGAGCTTGTGTATGTGTTAAACTTCAACTGCTTTTCTTGTTTCAAAAACTCGACAGCTCGGCGGAGAGCCCTGAACTGCAAATGCTTCTGCTTCCAAGTGCATACATGACTGCCACCACTCGGAGCTTCGTTCTCAAACTGGGATGCACTCGAGGGAGTACTTTCGGCTCGCTCTTCTGCTTGTTCAGTAGAACTCCTACAAAGCGTCATTTGACTGCGTGGTGACTCTCCGACAGTCCAGAGGTAATCTGGAACGTGAGGGGCTTCTCCATCTTTCAGGCAAAAAGCTGCATGCGCCTCAAGGAAGCTCCTGGGTAGGTCGGAAGGCAGGTGAGAGCGGTTGAAATGAACAAAAGGGGGGAGCTGTGGGCCATCGCATGAAGAGGCAGCTGCACTGTAGACACTCAAGTCATCATCTTTGATTTCCTCCCCCTGCATAAAAACTGGCGATGGGTGTTCACTCATTGCTGAGCAGAATAATAAAATGAGCTGTGGCTAATGAGTCGAATGAAGCGCGCTAGCGAGTTTACAGAATTTTGCTACCGAGGAGAGTGAGGCGGCAGGTAGCACGTGGTCGAGCTTCAGTTGCATCGATTCAAGAGGCATACACATAAAAGAGAAGGCAGAGAGGAAACTAGGCATTGGAAATTAAATTTGCGTCACTGGAAAGAATAGCAGTGCTGCAGCAACGAGGTTAGATAATAAAACATTTAATTTTGTCTGTCAGGAGCCCCCATCGACATGCATGCATCGCATGGGCTTTCCATTCGAATCGAGTACGTCATTTCCATTTTGTTTTACATTCTACTTCATTCATAGTGTATTTTTGTCGAGGGGGGAGAAAGCAAAGGGGGCATTTGTTGTCGGGGGCCACGTTACCTGCCGTGACTTCCCTCCTTGCTTTGGGATCTACAAAATGGATCTCCCTAATGCGACGAATGCAGGAAATCAAGCTGACTTGAGTGGTACTGGAGCACATGATGAATTGAAGGAAGGCAGCTCGCCCCAACCCAGCTGGGCAGAGCGCGCTTCGAGGGCTGCCAAACTGCCTGTGGCTTCAGAAAAAAAAAAATCAAGAGAGGGCGAAACTACCTCTTGCATCCCTCCCACAGCTCCAAATGCTGCCCTTCCCAAAGCCCCGCCTCCTTCGATTCCGGCATTCGCTCGTGCAACAAAGGAGAGGCCTGTCATTGTGCTGGACGCTGGGGCACTGATTCGAGTTGAGGCCCTCGACAAGTACCGTCACAAATGTGCGTTTGTTACAACAATGGCAGCAGCGCAGGAGGTACGGGATGCAATGTCAAGACAGCGCGTAGGCGAGCGGCTGTTGGATATTCACACGCTGCAGCCATCCGCATCTGACGAGGCATGGGCAGAAAAATTCGCAGATATGACAGGCGACTTGCCCTTTCTATCTAAAACAGACTTGGGGCTCATTGCACTTACCTACATGCTGCAGAGGGCTACGGGACAGACGGAACGCCTGAAAATACGACCTCCCGCACTTGAATTCTTCAGCGAGGCAGAGCTGCAACACTCCCTTGAAAGCAACGGGGATTCGACGCATGTGTGGACGCTCCAGCGGGGATGCGTGTCGGCTACCTCTCCTGCAAGAACGCCACCGTCTGTAGATGCCTCTTCTCTGGAGGATTCTACTAGAACTCTGGAAGGCGAGACGCCAGAGAGCGAAAGTGCATACAAATCAAATTCGACGGCGGAAGACGACATGGACATGGAAGAGGGATGGGTTACTGAAGAAGTGCTAAGGGACCACTTGGGACTTGTAGCATTAGACGATTGCCCTGATGGAGTGGAAGGCAGAGAAGGGGGTGAACAAGGCGATGCTGAAGCTCTCTCAAAGGCTTTTAACGGCCTCGAACTGGCGGCACACCTTCAGGAGGTCGAAGATCTTGTGTGCTGCATGACAACAGATTTTTCAATGCAAAATGTCCTGCTGCAAATGGGACTAGGGGTCTTGTCTGCAGACGGACGAACGATCCGAACTGTTAAATTATGGGCCCTCTTGTGCAGGTGCGGCGCGCTAGTGGCAATGGGGCAAATGACCATAAACGACAAACCCTAAGTATCAAAGGCGCATGCTTATCCCCATGATGCCGCTGTTTGAATAGCATGTGCTGCTGGGTTATCAACAGCGCCTCCTCGTTTGATGCTGCTTGAAGTTGTATTTTTGTTTTGCTTGATCTTTCTGGTGTGTGCGCTTTAGGGCCTGTGGGCACCTTGACCGGAAGACAAAGCTGTTGTTTTGCTCCAAGTGCGGGCACTACACGCTGGAAAGGGCGCCTCTGTATTTCGACCAGAAGTCTAGAAAAGTATATGTTTTTGACGGAAGGAAGCGCTTTTCCAAAAGGGGCCAGGTCTACTCCATACCAAAGGAAACAGGGGGCAAGCACTCTGTACGTTGAGCTGACCTATGCAAGGATGCAAATACGCAGCTTCACAGTCGCGTATACGAACCCTTTTCGTGCAGAGCGCCTCCAACTCTAGGATCTGCTACGAAGGAATCGATTAGTTCTCATTCACAGATGTATATGAAATGGCATGCATTAAAACAATTTGCGCGTATAGATGCCTGCCCGACCATGTATTTGTGGCGTTTTGTATAAATTCATACCTCTAATTTTGTGCCTGATTGTTTATTTCAGATGTCCTGCAGCTGGCTGTGCATTCCCATCAGTGTCATATCGATATACCAATGTGTGATTTGCTGCCTCACGGTTGTGGGTAAGCTTACAAGGCCGTTCCGAGGCATAGAGCTTAGCAATTTGTTTTGAACTTGTGGGGCTTCTGTCTTGTGCTGCAGCGTCCAATCATCTTGGCAGCCGATCAGCTGTTAATGGGAGGAGTAGATAGGGAACTTCGGCACAAAGAGAAGATTTGGAAAAAAGACGTCGAATCCAAGAACCCGTTTTCACCGGTACGTCATTTATTAGGCTCATGAAGACTCAGCAAAAGTGGTTGAGTCGCCAGTCTTTGGACAGCCATACAATGCCTAGTAAAGCCACATAATATAAGCACTTGTTGAGTGGGAGCATAATGTGCATTCTTTAGCCGTCCTTTGACGGGAAGGAGCAAGAACACCGATTGTCTCTTTCCCCTGCTTGTTCCTATTTCGCCTGCAGAACTATTGCCTAGAAGCGCAAAGTTGGCATCTTCGCGCATTTACTGCATCTGGTAGAGCTGCTGCCTCTGCTCCCCCAAAAGTCATCGTTGGTCTCGGACCCGGCAATCCCAATTCCAATCGATGGATGAAAAACCGCAACAGACAACGGAAATAGGCATTTTGAGTGTAGTGGGCATGAGGGAGGTGGTAAAGGAGAGTGGCTCTTTGCGCGTTGGCACCATTGTAGTTGCTGGTATTGTCCACATGGCCCGCAAGCTTATGAAACGTCTTCACCACTGCGTGTTAGCTTGCAGTTTGCAAATGCAACGATCAGGCTCAACCTGAGGCGATGACACTGGAACTCTCAAAGGCGTGGTACTCTAGCTTTAACCATGGGCGGTAGCTCCAGCGAACTTAAGGGAAGCTACCGCATCGTCCTGTCTATTGCCACAAACCTTTCCTAAGGGAGGCGCCTGCCCTTCGCTGCTGCTGAACTCCCCGAAAGGGTTCCAGCGCGCTCTACAGTTGACTGGTTCTATAGGGAATGTGGGTATCCATAGACGTTCTTATTGCCGGGGGATAATTCTTGCTCATCAGGTGCCATCTGCCTTTACAACCTCTTCGCGCACTGTTGACGAATCGCTGAAGACAACTTTTGCAGTAAATATGTCCGTAGATAGTAATTGTGCCTTTCCACAAGCATCGACGCATTGAGAAAGCCTGACGTCAGCCTCGTTTCGGGTTTATTAGTGTAGTGCCTTTGTTTAATAGACATATACCAGGTTGTACGTTTGTATTTTATAGTGCAGCAGGAGGCATCTGAGAACTGGCAGACCAGTCAGCATGCCCATTACGTTTCCTTACGGTCAGCGTGATCCTACTGCGTGCCCTGACTAGAAAAAGCATTTTGAATATGCCAGCACTACTTGTTCACCGTAGAGCCCAGCTTCAAAGGACAGGAGAACTAGAACATATACATCGTCAATGGCCGAACCAATTCACTTAGGGGGCTAAGCTCCACACTTTTAAACACCTTGCATTGCACTTGATATGTTATATTGCGAATCAGTAGGGAACCGGCTTATTGGTTTGTCTGCTCTTGTAACATATCTTTAGAGAGAACACTGCTGACTTGACAGTAGACGATGCGAAGTTTTGTGCTTATGCGCTACATGCTGGGTACAACCAGCTGTAAATGATCGGATTGCTCAGGGGGTGCAGCAGAGCGCACGTTTGCTGTTATTTTCCCCTCATGTCGGTAGTTCTGGCAGACATGGTCAGGGTTAGGAAGGCGCTGTTTTGAGCAGCACTAAGTCGTCCTTTGTCAAGTTTGCACTGACTAAGGAGTAAAGTTTCTTCTTCCGGAGACTTGGCTGGAGCGTTGCATTTCCCCCGTGTGTGATTAGAGGTGCACGGCAGCTGTGCTTTGAAGCCATATATTCATCCGCACGTGAACTATGATTTCGAAATAAATGCTTACACTTCGCTTGAATGCCGATAATACGGAGGAAGACGGTCGTATACCTCGAAAATCACCCCTCTCCGAAGTAGTCCCCGCCACAGGAACTCTTCCTCCGGTATAGTGAAATATTGATTTTAGTCATGGAATACAGCATTGCTTGCGCTTACAATGGGGAAGGAGTCTTCCGATATTGTTTACATTGGGAACTGCGGTACAGAACAGTTCTGGAAGGGGTGGAGGTGTTTCCGGTGGCGGGGTCAGGAACGCATTTGAAAGAAGCACACCCCTACACAAAATCTACCATTTGCTAAAATCAGCCCGTTTATAGTTGGTATTTTCTCGAGGCATATTATATTGAATTACTTACCTGAACGAACTTGAACCAGCGGTTTGCTCTCCCCCTGCATGCCACCCCACCAGTCACAATTACAGTTGGTTGGAGGCACTGCCGACTGTAGGGGCTGCGTGGGGCTCCGCTCTTTGAGCTGGCCACAGAGAAAGAAACTCAGTGAAAAACTCATTGGAGTGAGGGAAGAAGTGAGCAGATAACAATTAGGGGGTGCGCTATACCATTTTTGAACCTGTTCAACTGAAACCAATTCTTTGAAGCCAGTGATTGCCGTCCATTTTCCTCATTGAAGTGCACCTTAGCAAGAAGGTTCACGAGGTCTGCATATAATGATTCGGGTTTCTCTTTTTCGGGCATACGTGTAGCGCCAGCCCCCAGTTTCACTGGAGGGGGGAAAGCTCTTGCCAATTAGCACGTCCCCCAGAGTGCTCATAAATGGAGCAACAAGAAGAGGAACACCACAGGGCGCCCCCCCCGAATGCCCCGTCCCTAGCGAGAGCCACAAACGGCAGCAGCGAGCGTAAGACATCGCAGAGTAGCAGCCATGCAACACAAGACGCTGATCCACCGAGGAAGCGCCGCCTGTTGTTTCCCAAGGCTCGACCCAAGAAGATGCAGGAGTTCCTTGGACGAAGGCTGGATACCTTTGCAGACTCTGGGGAAGGCCGTCAAGACGCCACTCCAGAGGAGCACACTACGACGTCCAGCGGCATTGACGGCCTAGTGTGCAGCGGTGCTTCTTTTGAGGAAGCCATGGCAGCAGCTGGTGTACTGGGCGACGTCCATCAGCCCCAGTCGCAGAATTCTAGCGGGTTGTCGTGTGACGCAAAGGCGATCGCGAAGGGGATAGCTGTAGATGAGCAGAAGCTGAAGGATGCACCAGCGAAAGCCGATCCCCCGACGTCTACGGGAGAATCCGCGAGTTTTGCAAGGGGCCCCCAGGATTTTGGCTCGCTTTCATCGTCATCGCAAGGCGGGAGCGGCGCCTCTTCAGGCAGTAGACGAGCAGTTTCGTCCATTCCGCCTCCGATCTCAACCTCGTCTAGCCTTCTGGATTCGTCGTGCCTGGGAGTTCAGCGTCTGACTCTGCAGTCTCCTACTGCGGACCAACCCGCCGCTAACAATGAGGCTGTTGGCTTGCCAGGGGGAAGAAGCCCTCCGGAGAAGAGGCCTTCTTCTGGACCCTGTGATTTTGCTGAAGAAGAAGATGCTCTTCACGGAATGGAAGCGCTTGGTGACGGTGGCTTGGGTCCCCTGCAGAAGACTGAGGATTTCTCAGAAATTCCTCTCGCAACGCGTCTGCAGGCCAAAGCCATAAAGCAGAGAGTGCATGGCTGCGACGAGGTGGTGATGCGTCTGGGAAGCTGCAGCAGCTGCAGGGAGAGGATCCAGCTGTGGGACGCGCTTGTCAAGCCACATTTGAGCGGCATTCTCAAAGATACAAATGCTCTGGTCGGCTCGAAGGCTTTAGAAATGCTACAAGCTCTTATCAAGGCGGACGATCCCTCCGCTGGAGACACGCTCTTTCCAGCTGCTGCTGCGTTGCCCCTCTTGCAGCAAAGCGGGAAGCTCATGATTTGTCAGCTCCTTTCAAATCCAAGACATTTCTCCACTTGTTCCGAACTGCTGCTGAGACTGAGCCAAGCTTCGGCGGAGTGCGCGGCTGAGACAGTTGCCCTCGTTGCCGCTGCTATTCAACAGCTACTGGAGGAAAAGAAGGGAAATGTGGCGGCAGTCAAGGGCCAAGGTGTTCGCGTGGTGGGAAGCTGTGTGGAACTGCTGCTTAAGATGCTGCAAGCCTTCGGACTGCAGCTCATGGTGGCTGTGGGGGGCATCCAGAGGTTGATTCATCCCTTGTCTTCGTTCGCTGCATGCAGCGATAAGAGAGTTCGCACAGCCCTCGCTTCTCTAGCAGCAACCGCCCTGTATTTCACCCGGATGACAGCAGGCGACGCCGCAGCAGCGGCTGCCAAAAAGGTGGCACTGGACTGTCTGAAGGGCAGCAAGGCTATGCAGTCTGACGTAGAGCAGCTGCTGGAAAAGTTTGCATCTGTGCCGCCTCCCACACCGACCCTCTCAATCGGCGGTATTATTGGGGGTCAAGAGGGCGATGACAGCCAGGCGGCAGCCTGCAAAAACACTGACAAGTCTGGTGGCTCCTTGGCTTCGATGCTCGTAGCCGAGACTGACGTGCTTAGGACTGTCTGCCAGCAGCAGACAGATTGGGTGCTGCGCGTGACGGAAGGCAGGCAGTCCACGGCACGTGGGGAGCGTGAGGGGGATGAAGAACCTTCTTGGAAAGTGAAGCTTCAAGCTTGGCAGCAGCTAGAGTCTGTAAGCCGTTCCTCCCGCCGGGAACTATCTGTCTTACCCTTCTTGGAGCAGCCATGCCCCCAGAATAGAGCCCTCTTTAACGCCTGTGGCTCTGGAAAGCCTCATTTTGCAAGTTTGCACATGCTCTGTGCGTTTTTTGCAGGCTCTGCGAGACTGCGCTGGTTTGTACAAAAAGAATCCCTTCTTGCATCAGCAGCTGCTGCCTCTGATGCACCGCGTGCTGACTGCAGAGCCGACGCTCCCTGTGGTCGCCTGCGTCTTGAAGACTCTCCAGCTACTCGTGCAGCTGCTGCTCCAGCCGCGAGGGGTTGAGGGAGCCCAGCAGCTGCAGCAGCAGTTGCGGGCATTGTTGCCTGACGCTTTGGGGAAGCTGAAGGTGAATAACCGACCGGTACAGGCGGCTGCTTGCCACTGCATTGGGACGTATCTCGCGAGTCTCCCCATCGACGTGGTCGTCGGAGACTTGCTTCCCGTGAAAGAGAAAGTGGCGCATTATCAGAAGCTGCTTCTTGACGAACTGACCAAGGCTGTGGGGCAGCAGGCGGGCAAGCCCGCCCTTCAAAAGGTCGCTGCAGTGCTGCTGACTGCAGCACGAGCAGCAGCGGAAGACGGAAACGCTTCTGTGCGCGCTGCGGGAGTCGGCCTCCTCGCTGCCGTCTCCAAGCATGCAGAGGGCGACGCCATAGTGGAAGACACCGTGCAAAAGCTATCGGAGCAGAAGCGACAGCAGCTTCAGAAGGTCCTTGCTTCCTCGGGGAGTCTCTCTGTAACGGGAAACCTCTCGCAGCCTCCCGCCTCCTCTCCCCGACGTCCTCTATCCCAAAGCGCCGCTGCGCAAGGAGTACCTTTTTCCCGCATGCGAAGTCGGGGTATTGCCGCAGCTGCAGCTGCTTCTGAGCGTCAAGGAGGCGCTGTGGCGGCTAGTTCAGCGAAGGCAGTTCGAAGGCAGGCGCATAGCACCGTTCTTCCTGGCAGTGCTGGCGCGAAGCTCCCTCTCCAGCGAAGCGGCACCGCATCCGTGTTATCTGGAGGATCATCGGCATCCGCTAGTCACGCCGCCTGCTCAGCAGCGGCACTCTGGGAAGTGCCGCATGCAGCAGTCAGTCCTCAAGACGCCGAGAAGCACACCCGGGCAGTGCTTCCTGCGGAGCTGCTGCAAGGTCTGGATGCGACGATCGGGCAGGAGCGAAAGCGGGCTTACCAAGCCTTGGAGTCTTGGTGCCGCCGTGCTTGCGACTGCAGCCTCTGTAGCTCAGAAAACGGGCAAATGGAGATGGAGGGGAAAGCGGACGCATGCAGACTTGAGGCCTGTCGGCGCTCTGCTGTCCACATTCTTCTGCATCTGCGTACAAAGTTACGAGGCTTCAGAGAACGCACTGCCGTGTTGGAGGATGCATGCATATCCTGTCTTCAGGCTATTGTTGGGGGGCTGCTGCTGCCAGAACCAGTCTTTCTGGCGACAGCCGCTGCAGCGAAAGACTCCGCATACAGTGGCCCTTCGATCGTCACGCCGAGGTGTGCGACCAACGGCAAGAAAAGATCCTTACCCCCTGTCGACAGAAGCATTGTTAACATCGTGCTGGAGCCACTTGGAGATCGGCTGGGAGATCCCCGGGTAGGCAGTGGCATACTGACCATTGGGCTGTTACTGTCCTTAAGCGTCAGTACACCGACAACGGTTGCTGCCCAGCTGGCGCTTATGACAGATGGACGGGTTGCTGGAGGGAGATTCATGCAAGGCGTCTGCGCGCTCCTAGAACTCCTCTTACAGCAATGGGGCCTCCAAGCCTTCAGTCCACCGAAGCAGCTGCTGATATTGGTGCGGCAAATGCTTGAGCCCAACAAGGTAGGCGCTAAGCAGCACCTGGAAGCTCAGGCATGCATTCACAAACTGCCCTCTTGTCGGGCAAGCCTCCGTGTTTAGCTGTACTTTGCACAGACCGCCTTTGTGATCCCGCCTTTTTCACCCAATCCGGAGGTCCTCTTGCTGCCCACCCTGCACGCAGAGCGCAGCCGCATGCATCTTTGTCTTTGAGAGTTCTAACCGTCTGTGGCTAGATGTCAATCTACGCAGGGGCCGCGCTCTGTAGTCTTCCCCTTGCTGAAGCGTTTGCATGCGGAGCTGGGAGACAAAGCGATCACTGCCATGCTCGTCGCCCACCCGCTGCCAGATGACGTGAAGCACGCGCTGAAGCAGCAGAGGCAGCTGCAACCACAGCAGCCGCAACAAAGTGTAGATATCTCTGGACCTGTCTGGAGTGGCGCCTCTGCTGCTTTGACTGCTGGAGCAGCAGCCGCAGCATCTGCAGTAGCTGCAGCTGCTGCGTGTCGCGACTCGTCTCCAAGAAGCAGCAGCACCCCTACGAAGGGCTCAGTGGCTCAGTACATTACTTCGGATTTATTGCAGCGCATGCAACATGGGTACCAGGAAGACGTGGTGCTTAAGGCGCTGAATGAGCTGATGCATATCCTCGTTGCGAAGGCAGGAGATCGCGCTAAACCCGAAGGTAAGCGGTTGGGGGATGTGGGTGCTTTTTTTGTTGGCGTGCACGTCTCGTGTGTCATGACGTCCTAGAGACTGTCCGAGGCTTACCAAGCTTTTTTAGCGAGTTCGATTTCTTAAGATACAATTAATTGGCATTGCGAGGCGAGGCGTGGTTCGGTGTAGCGCGTGCATCGACACGCGGTGCCGGTCATGGTGTAGGGGTATTGGAATGAGCACGTCTAAGCAAAAAGTCGGCTGCTGCTTATGCAGCTGCTGTCGTCGCAGCTAACAGCCCGCACAGATGCTGGAGAGTAGATTCCCTATGAACTCGAGCGGCACCCGCGTCAGTAAACACAAGATTGCGGTGTGAAAAAGGCATCAGCACCATATGGCAGTCTTTCAGATGTTTCTGCTGGCTGGCATGTGGCTTGGTGATGGTTTGCTGACCTTCAGGGCTTAGTGGTCTTCTAGGAGCTCTGCGAAGACGCCTTGCAGACCAGAGCTCTTCAACGCGCCGCCAAGTGCTCCTGTGCTTTGTTGCCTTACACGATCACCTGAGCAACGAAGCCTTATCTGACCTCTTTATCAGCTCCTCCTTTTCGCCCCCCGCGCGGTTGTACAAGCAACTGCTTACTGCGACGGCAGAGTGCCTTAGTGACTCCGACAAGAAAGTGCGTTCCTGGGCTTCCAGGTGTTTGCGGTTCGCTTTGTTGCGTGTGCTTCCGATGCCGCTGCGCCCTCTCTTGTGCCGTGCATGCGTGGCGAAGTGCGATCGATCCATGTCTCTGGAGGCGCTGCAGTTGTCTAGCGGGTCAGCTGGATTCGAGGACGGGGGATGCGGTAGCGACTCTCTGTAGGTACGAAGACTCCTGCCTGGCTGCTCGCTCCTGCATGTGCTGCTTCCTGCTGCCGCTCAGGTGTCTCAAGCCGCGCATCTCGCTACGGCGAAGTGGATGGCTGCTGTGCGTCTCCCCGATGCCTTGGCGTTGCTTGATCCTTTGTTCTCATGTGGCGGTGCTGCTGCCGCACCTTCTGCCTCGCAGCGGCCTTTGTTGGGGAACCCCCTGCGGCGCGCAAATTCAATAGGAGGCGCGATGCTTATGCCTCCCCAGACGAAGGCAGCGAGGCTTCGGGATGCTGTGTTTGCGCTTATGGCCATTGCCATGCCGCTAGACCCCTCTCAGGAAGCTGCCCTCCTGCAGTCTCTTGTTCCGCAGCTTCTGGATGCACTGCAGGAGCAGCTGCGCGGCGAGTCCGCTGCTCTCCCCACGCCAGCGAGTGCGCTGCTGTCTTTGCTGATACACGAAGGCTGTTCGGCGGGCGCAGTTGTACAGGTGCTGCAGCAGAGACAGTCCACGCAGTGTAACGGCCCCGCGGGAGAGGCTGCTGCGCTAAATTCGATCCTTCTTTCCCCAGATTCTCTCAAGCTCCTCCTCGACGCGCGCCAGGAAACGCGCCGCATTATCCAATCCTCGTCGTCATTGACAGCTCCAGGATCGACGAAGCCGCTGCCCGAGGAACCCCTGCATAGGCTGAAATCCACAGATCCTGCCTCGGATGATGCATCTCAGGCAGAAAACCCGACCATTGCGCACGACTCTCCCACCTGCATGAAATGCACGGATTCCCCTGTCGAGACTTTATCAACGCGATCGCAACGCATCCAGAAAAACAACGGAGCGGCCTTTGTCACTTCGCGGCGGCACCCCCATGCTCTGAGAGATGATCTGCTTCACGAGCTGAAGGGACGCCTTGATTCCAGTCTGATTCAGGTCATGTTTCCTCCTACCAGTGCCTCACCCTCTGCCCCTGGCAGTCGGCAAATTCTGCCACAACTATCGCAGCTACAGGCAGCGCACGATGCGTGGAAGGGCCTCTTCGGCGCTGAAGGCTGTGAGTCAACCGTCTTGCCAGGCCAGCAAAGGAGAACTCCGAAGCTGAATAATCCCTTGCAGGGAGATCAGAGTATCACCGATATACTGCTGAAGTGGATTGCTCTCTGGTGAGGCAAAGCAGTGTCTCAATCGCTGCTGCTCCCTGTCAGCCCTCTAACGGCGATCGCCTTTCCATTCCACACTTGCCGCTGTGCGCGTTAAATGAAGTGTCATTGCAACTCCCGCCAGAACGGAGATGGACGTTCTAGCGCGGTTATTAGATCCGCTGCACGGAGCAGCGGATTCAACTGAGTTCAGAGACTGTTGGGTGGATGATGGATTGTGGTGAGGTGTTTGTCAGTTTCACGGTCTTTCTGACTGTGTGTTGCTGGGGTTCCTGCAGCATCGTAGAAGTGCAGCATCAGCAGCAACGTTCTGTCCAAGCACTGGAATCCCTTTGCGTCTTACTCCAGATGGTTCAGCTGGTGCTGCAGCCGTATTACAGTCTGCATTTGGAGTTGCCGCTCTACGAGCAGCAGCAGATTTTGCAGCATCTGCTTGACGTCGGCTCTGCACCAGCTGCCACTGCAGGCGTCAAGGGGTCGCAGACACCTAAGCCAGTGCTGAAGCAAATCCGCTTTCTTGTGCGAGAAACACTGCAGTTGCTGGCAGCGGTTGCGCAAGACCGACTTCGGTTCCTTTCTGCAGTTCACAGAAGTCTCATTCGCTGCAAAAACAGGGAGTGCGTCTGGATTTCTGTACTTCGGTGGTTTCGCACACAGAGGGGGGCAGGGGGGGCATCGAGGAGGGGTGTGAGCCCGCGCATCCCTTTGTGGTGTGGCGGTAAGAAGCTGCTAGTATTCGGATTTCTACGCTGGATTTTTGCCGTGAATTCTTGTTGCGGCTCTCTCGGCAAATGGCGGGCATTCCGCCGCACTCGACCGCTAGGCATGGTTTTCAGACTGTGCGATCGTCTCCGTCGAGCAGTAGACGTGCTCTGAACCCTACTGCCTCTCTCTTCCTGTGCGTTCTCAGGCTCCTTGTTGATTTGATGGCGGCAATGACACGCGCTCTGGGGCACCACGTCCACCTTCAGCTGCAGTCCAAGACATTTCTCGTTTCAAACAGCGAGGCGTTGAGTGACTTCCTGTCCCAGCAGTGCGCAGCCCGCTTCTTTTGTCTTCTGACCGATGCGAAAGCCTCCGAGGAGCAACGCAACATAGCCTTTCATTTCCTGGTGCTCTGCAACTTGGCTGTGAAAGGAGGCGCGCTGCAGTGAGTTTTGCATGCGGCCGGCCCCAGCCAGAAAATGCCAGACACGTATAAGCTGCACTTTTGAAAGCAGCAGCAGCAGCAGGCGTGCTTCTTGCGAGCGTAGGGGCATGCGGGTTCGCTACTGGGGTGTGTAGATTCTGTGCGCGAATGCTCCGTGCAGCTTGCTGCCTTCCCTGACCCCCGAGTGCCGGGCACGACTTGTGGAAGCCACCAAACAGACTGCAGCAAGTGGTCCTTCACAGAGTTGGCTGGAAAGTCTCTCGTCGCGTTCCGCAGACGGTTGCACGAGTCCTACCCCCGAGGAGTTGGCGAGCTTGCATCCTGTAGAGGCAGTCTTGTCTCGATCCTCGATGTCAGAGCCAGCAGGTGTGGCTACGTACACCTCTTGCCCGTAGCGGGGGTTCTTAAATATTTCATCTCGGCTGCATCAGTGGCATTTGCTCTTCCGTAGACAGAGCATGCGGTGTCAACGCGATCTCTTGCGCCTTGACTTGGTTCGTGCGCAGAGGCCCGAGGCATCAGCGACGCTAAACACCCAGGAAAAGACTTCGGTAAGCCGAATAAGAGCATGTTCTCTCACGCAGCAGCAGCGGGAGGTAGCTACTAGGCACGCACATGCGTCTCATTGGGGGGAGGGGGGCGACGGCCAGTTAAGTAGCGGAGAGCTGGGGGAGAGAGGAAATAGAGGGGACAAGTGTCAGAGCAATTCTGTTCCGCATTGTGCACCGGCTCTATTCTTTATAAGGGGGCGTTTGGCTCTAATCGTTTTAGAGTATTGTCGTCGTCACTCTTTTCCTCCTAGTCCTACGGGGTGTGGGTGCTGGGTGCCTTGTGCTTCCGATACGTGGCCTAGGGTCTGACATGCCTCCCGAATCGACAAGTGTGGAAGCAGAAATTTTGGACTCCTCTGCAGCAGCACTGACGAATGCAGTGGCGCATGCCGACGCGCTGCTACAAATGGGGGGCGAGGAGATGCATCGGCAAGCGAGCGCGCTGGAGGGATGGCTTACAGCTGCCAGAGAACTGCGAATGCAGAGTCAGGCATTTGACGCCGCGTTCACGTCTCTTTTTGCCGGGATCGTGCAGCAGACGAGAAGCTTTATACCCCGCAGTGAGCCATCGGGAGAGTGCCCTCCTGATGAGCACACCGTGACAACCAAAGCCTCCATCGAGCAGCTTTGCTGCCTCACGGCTCTCAAGACTTGGTGTGCTGAGCTACAGTTGCGCTCGCTACCTCGCGCCACCTTTGGGGCCCACTGCTTGCTTTTTCTCCTTACTTCCGCATCCCCGAATTTTAACAGCTCAGCAGCAATGGCAGTGACGACAGCAGCATGGGATGCCGCGCGAAAGGCCCGTGAAGGAGCACTTGCGGAAACGTCTGAGGCACACACACAGCCGCAACACTCCGAGCAGCCGTATTCTCGCCGCAACGGTCGCCAGTATATCCAACTGACCTCTGTAGGAGACACAGTACTGAACGCTCATCCTCTCAGTACTCGCTTCCTGCTCGATGGAATCACCAGAGCCCTCGACTTCTTCTTCGAGCCACAGCACTTTGAAACTTTGCACAGTGCCGGTCTAAGTTTCCAAGGCGCTGCTTCGGTTCTGCTGCTTGCCGAAGCCATCACACGTCGCCGAATGCAACACTACAGAACGCCTAGCACGTCTTCTTCCAAACAGAAAGGCTCGCATATGCTCCATCCCTCGATACCTGCTGACTTGAAAAAGGGCATCCTGCCACCGCTTCAGGACAAGGAATTGCTGCAGCGATGCTGCAGTTGCCTCTTACACTGCATGGGGAGATACCAAGATCACATATACAGGAGCCCGATAGCGGTACGCCCTACATGTGCAGGAATGCCGTCCACTTCCTGAATCCATGAACAAACGAGAAGGTGACACATGATATAACGCGCTTTCGTGACCTCTTGTGTGCTGCTAACCAACTCAGATGGATCAACGCTTTGGTGCCGTACGCTACTTGGTGACCTTTCTGCTTAATCAAGTTTTGGGAAGGAACATCCTCCAGGGAGATATCCGAGTCTTGTGAGCTCTCGACTGTAGCCACACACCAAACCGTTCGCTCACCTCAGAGCTGCTTTGTTCTGCGAGTTGTTTTAGTGCCCTGTGTCGCCTCGTGACTTTGTGGCCATCCCTTGCGATATATCCATTGAGATACCTTCGGCAGCTTTACCTGCTGAGTGGTTCATTCTTAGCCCTAGTCCTTTGCATTGTCTTCTCTACAACTCATAGCGTGTATATATATATATATATTTCAGAGCTTTCATGAGCTTCATACCTCTGCGTTGTTTCTCCCTTTTGCCACGACAGATCGTGTATCGCCGAATGCTGCTTCGCACAAGCCGCTCATGCCCTCGGTAGTTCAGCGCAAGAGGCGCAGCATGGACGGACGGAAACCCTCTGGCGTCTGGTCAGCAAAATCCACAAGAAAGCTGTGCCTCTACTCGAGAAGCATGCTACATCTGTTGTGCAGTGCAAGGAGGGAGCGTCAGATACAGGTTTCTCCGAGGTTCAGATGCAGCAGAAGGTTGTGCAGGCGCTGAGCATTCTCGAACTCATCAGTGTGCGTATCCGCCTATACTTTACTGAACAGCAGGCACACTAGATGCACTTTGTCGCAATTCGAGTGTTGTGCGGAGAGTTTGCTTGTGGCACACTGTATGTTATGTGTATATCTCAGACGGTGGTAACCTCGCTATCTCGCCTAGACGGCGCGTATCATGCTGCCAACCTGCGCATAGAACAGCGCCAACAGCAGCAGGAAGCGGTGCAGTTGCAACCTGAAACGAAAGGGCAGGCGCTGGCAGCTGGGGAAGAAACAAGGGATACAACTCTTTCAGCTCTTGAAAGGGACAAGTTGATATTCCTTGTATATGCCAAACTCTTCATGTATACCTTTGTCTCTTTATGGTACGGAAAACCCTTAGCCGTAATTCCCTGTACAAAAAGAATTGCCTCTAAAAGCAACAGGGTGGTACGCGATGGGGCGTTCCATGGCTCGTTACATGGTGAGGCATGTGTGATGCCCTGCAGCCCAACGCTTCTCCGAATTCATTTGGATGCCGCTGGAATTACGGAGTCGGCAGAACGAGCTGCGCGTTTGGAGCGGCTGCTTCGCGGCAGCGACATTTTGGATAACGGCGACAGCGAAATGGCAGCAGATAATGTTGTGCCTCATGCAGAGGAGAGACGGTTCCTGCCACAAATACGAGGAGCAGAGGAGGCATGCAGGGGGCTACGTTCGTTCACGTGCGAGGGGATTCCGACTGTGCCACTAGGGTATGATACCCAGCAGCTTTTGGCATTTCATCGGAATTATCTGGAAGAAACAGGCAAGTGCCAGTCTGAGGACTGTACGATGCAAGTAGATTCGCCGTCTTCCAGTTCCGAGGACGCCTGGACTGATGTAAAGACTAAGCTCCAAGTGCGTGAATTTGCCACCAACTAGCCTTTGTTCAAAATTAATATAAGTGTAACAGATCGCCGCTGTCTTCCTGTGATCTGTTCCCCCCCATCTCACTGCCTCTCTGCGGTCGTTGGATATGCAACTGAATACTTGAATCGAGTAGTACACACAATCTGGGCAAGTGTGCTTTTGAACTGGTCTCTGCATCACTCCAGTCTATTGTGTGTAAGGCATTCCATGGCACATGGCATGGTATATGGTAAAATATATTGCATTACGCGTTCGTTAATTGGTGATTAATTTCCTCTTTCGCGTTTTCCAGGGGCGTGGGAGAGCGCTATGTGGACTTGTCCGTCGGGGAGGCCTAGACCCCTCACCGGTAGGCAAGAGAGGCGCACAGGGTTTTGCACGCTAATACGACCTTCAGCGGCTTCATTCCTAATTTCCAGCTGTATACTCCAGTGCACAATTTCCGCCATATGAAAATAGGTTTACCCTCATGAAAAGACCACACGAGCCAGAGCATAGTAAATTTCCTCGGTCACGTCTTGGTTGCAGGCATGACTGCAGTCGTCGGCTCCACCATGTCAGGTTATTGGTACTAATAAAGGGCTCCTGCACATCAAACCTCTGACGTCTTCAGCATTGTATGTGAACTTTTCAGGACCAACCATCTGGTGGTACTGAGCGTAGTTGGCCGAGTTTGAGCGGTAACTCCATAGAGCAGCAGCCGTACGACAGCAATGATGACTTCACGCTCCACCCATTGATGCAGAAAGTTCGACAATGCCTCTTGTCGTCTGGCCAGCATCGTGCCATACTACAGCCGTGCTCCAGTGAAAAGGGTCGCCATGGCAGCTTCGAGGGAGCAGAGCACAAGGGAGTGCGGATGGTCCGCTTTTGCGCTGGGACTTCAGCGGCCTTGCCTCATCATAAACTTGCCACATTGAGGGCAGAGACGGCAAACCCTGATTCTGTCCCAACAGAGTGGCTTGATTTCGCGACCGTCGCCAGCTCATACAAGCTCGACATCCAGACATCTCACGCAAGCTGTCCTGCTTCCGCGGCGTATGGTAACGCAGCTGCAGCGCGTAATTCAGAATCGGGTGGTTCTGCTCGACCTGGAATGCCTGAATGTGGTGGGGGGCAGCAAGACGAAGCACTTCGGAATGCGGTGGCTGGTACAGGCACTGTCTGCCTCACGAGTGAAGCAAAACAATGTACAACAGACCAGTCAATCGCGGGTGACTACGATCGCGCCGCTGTGAGCACACTAGCTCGATCCATCAAAAGACCTGCCCGACCTGGTCAGCAACGCCAGACTGTGGGCTCTGTTGGGCGGTCCAACTCGATGCGAGATATGGGGGGACACTCCTGTGACTCTCCAGCCAGTCCCAAGACGGCTTCGAAGCTGCCTCAGTGCTACAATTCCCGGCCCTCAGGGGCTTCGTGCCTCCCAATGAGCTTGAATGAGAGGCCTCTCCGCGGCTCAAGCCTGTCGGCAATCAAACAGTCATTCCTCAGGCGCTTCAGCAAGCCTGAATCAACAAGATGTTCGTTGCCCACCAGTTCTTCAGCACATTAGGACAGCTGTCGGTGCATAAATTTGTATATTATTGGACGCTTTTTGACTAGGTATTTTGCAATATGCTCACCGCCTTGCTTGTTGTCCCGGATTTGTTCCTCCAACCTGAGGCCTCACCTGCACATCCTCCACAACAATCTAAAACGCCCCTCTTTTTAGGTATCACGATTCATAGAGTATGGTTTATCTGCATTGCACAAAGAGACTTTTTCTACCCATTGGAGACTATGGGACTCCAATGTGTTGCCGTACAATCGTAGTTACTCAGTAATGCTGCAAATACTCAATAACGAGCGAATTGGAGTCGTACTTTGCCTTCGGTAGCTCTTATCCTGGAGGCAACCAGACATTGCATATTAGTAACATAAGTGGAGTCACATCAAAGCATTGAATACCTTTTTCGCGTTGTGCAGCATGCAAGTGATTTTAAAGTGGATCTAATCCTCAGTTAGCTTGGAGGTACGTGCGCAGGTTATCGCTTAACAATTGTGGTTCAGTGAGTTGATGGGAAGCCACCGAAAACTACCCCTGAGTTGTGTGCAGCTGTTGGCGGTAGTCGTGCACTCAATTAAATGCAAGGCCGTTGCGGGGTACATTAGACGATCGATTCACTTGTGCCTTCGTCAACGGCGGAGAGTATGGGGCACTCGAACCACCGGCAATGGTCTAGGGTGGAAATACCAGTGGCCTCTAGGATATATGTGCCAGCGAACTCCACATGCAAAGATCGGGTTCCTGGTATCATTATTTTCCTCCGAAGAGTTCAGATGGAGCATATACACAGATGAATAAGCCTTTTTCAGTTCATTGCCTTCAAAGGGAACTTTTGGCGTAACGATGTCGATAAAATTATTTGCGCAGAATTGCCATTCCGACCGCAACGTTCCGTGGCTTTTTCTGCACTGAAACAATGGCACAAGGGCAACTAGCCAAAGCACAAAGCTTGCCCGATGGGCCACACGAAAATACGGAAAAATTCTTATTATGAATTCTTGGGTATTCCTGCCCGTTTTCATGGGCTTGTAATAATTCCCACAATTTGAGAGGTGGTCTGTAGCGCTGCTTGTGTCCGTTCCTTACGACACTTTACACCAGCTTACGACAATAAAACTAGGCGCAAAGACTTTATTTACCTGATGACCCAAGCCTGAGAAGAGGAAATTTCATCGATGGGGCACGTTCATATTAGCTAAAGTGCTCTGCGCTGTGTTCACCTCTCCAAGGGCCCTTAGATATTCACACACAAAACAGACCACCTGGATGATAATGCATTTACTAAAGGATCAAATCCCTGGTCAAGCTGAGGCTGACTCAATTTGCACCGCTTGTTGGTGATCACTCAACAGGCGAGTGCCATCGTGCTTATTGCCAACAGAAGACGCGGACCCAGACCAATACTGCTTCTCTATCTTAAGTAGCGCAGAAATGTATAATGTTATAGCACTTCAGGTACTGCTCCTTAGCTAAAAGTGCCCAAAGCAATACAGGATATAGCGATGAGAAATGAACTTTTGCTTTCATGTGCGACACATTGATGACTGTATCCTTGTCCATTTGAGATATGTCATCTTTGGTATTCAATTTCCCTCTGGGGGTTTCTGCAAGTTTGATAAGAATAAATCATGCTAGCTGCAGCACAGGATGGGCGTACAAACGGGCAACGCCCTTTCGTTGCAATGAAAGGGCGAAAGCAAACGATATCTCTGCTTAAGAACACGCTCTGACCAGCGTATCACTTGTGCACAATCTCCGCTGCCTGTCTATTTTTTGTACGCTGGTTTTGTTCCTGAAATGGAGACCGTTGGTGCGATGTGGCTTCGCTTCCATTTTCGATGACTGCGCACATTTTTAAAAACAGTGTTATACTGCGGTCTATCACACCAGCGTCGAACATAATATAGTGATGAGCCTTCGAGCCTTTTAATAACTTGAATGAAGGGAGCTAAGATCAGCATAGACCTAGTAACGTTTCTTGCTGCCTTGAGGTAGGTATCTGCAAGGCAGGGTAGGGAATTCACTCTTCAACAAAATTATTACCCTGTTCATGCGCGTTATCTTCCTGCGTACAAGCATGCTTGTGTTCAGCCAAAACGATGCAGATTACAAGGCGAACGGTCACAGCTGGTGCAGGCCAATGGAAACTCAATAAGGAGTCATCATTTTCCTAGTGCCGCTCGAGCAAGACAGTTTTCCTCAAAAGTAGATTTAATGCACTGGCGCAGCATTTTGGATGTTAGTCTAGCTACTTCCAAGCAGCCTGATTCACTGAACAAGGGTACCTAGTTGCACTCTTATAGGAGAGGCAAAAAGCTATTCCTCCTCAGTCTCCCAGTTCACTGCTTCCCAGGCTAGAAGACTGCTACCTTTTCGGGCATCGAGATGTTTTCCTGCACATGAATGGTACAGGGCGGTAGAAGCAGGCACTATTCTCATTGCAGCGGCGCCTGCCTGACCACGCACTCCCGCATCGGCTGCTTTTGCGGGCTAGCATATCGATCACACTACCTGGGTTTATCGCACAAGCCTTAGGCATCTGGATTCCTAGGAGAGAAATCCCTTACACTTCAAAGAGTCTAACGCAAAGTAGGTCGTGTTTTTTTTTGTAGATGACAGATTGCCAATTGTTGGAAATCTCATTCAACACGCCGAAAAATTTGAAGTGGTATTTGTCACACTGCTCTGCAGATGTGTTCTACCATAGGACTTCTCGGTGTTAAGTTGCCTAACTCGCTACAACCTGTTCCTAGCCTATAGACATGCCAGTACGCTGCTTCTCCTTACGGCAGCACCACACATGCGCTTGAGCGGCGTCTGCTCAGTATTACGTACCTTCCAAAGCGTGCTAAGGAGGCTACTACGATCCCTCTATAGATAAAGGCCCCATAAACCTAAATCAGAGGCCTATGTAATTGGAGAAAAGATTGAGGGACAATAACGTGTAAGATACGCAGTGAAACAAGGAAAGTAGCGGCAACTCAAAATAATAGCCTTCAGCAAATAGGAACTCAGGTGCACTTTATCCCTTGACCCTCCTTTTGATGCATCTACGTCCGATATACCCTGAGTACCCTCCAAAACGTTATTCAATTGAGAGGAGGGGAGCTCCAATGCCGTGCGGGAAGCAACGAGTTAGCCTTTATGAGCCGTGAGAAAATGCTTGAGGGTGCTCTTACGCGAGCTCAGTCCTAACAACCATTTTGACTACCATCCGGACTGCCCGTCTTATAGCAACATGCGACCAATGCCGGCCGCATGTCACATAAGGAGCTATTTGTACGTCCAGGTTATTCTGCCAGCAGGGCCTGTCATATCTGCTGTTATCAGGAGCAGCGGAATGACGACTAAGGCTATTGTATTAATGATATATTGACCCATGAGCTCCTGTCTCAGCGGCCACTCCACTACCCAGCAGTATAAGAAGCTAGGTCAAGCGTTCGTTTATGCGCCTTTCTTGACTCTGGTGTCAAAAGAATGGAGCCGAGCCCTAATAAGATGCCATTCTTTATTTGCAAAATATACAGGGGCTAGCACTTCAATAACTCATCAAATCCAAACCGACTTGGATGCTGGACTTGTTACCCTTATAAAAAACGCTTGAAAGCGGTGGAAAATATGATATGTGACCCTGAGTACGATCTTCCATCTAATGTCATGTTGGTAACCATGAATCAACCACGATAGAATAAGGGAGCCGAATGCATTAACTGCGATAAAACTGAAGGAATCAGATGGACGTGATGGTGATATAAAAGCGCAATAAGCGCTCTACTTCATTCAACAGTCGGCGTCTCTCGCGAAGTGAAAAGTGAAGCAAGCCATTTGAATAAATCTGTGATGGATTGCTGTCCTTTTTGCTTTAAATCCGCAAGGGCATCCTGTGTCGCAATTGCTGCCGCCATTGTGAAATACGTTTTGCTCAGCAGGGTACAAAAGTACTGAGGGGAAATTGAATCGACCGCTGTATACCTGATGATTCTTGTGTGCACCTTTAGCGACTTCACCCTAGCCACACCCTTGCGCGATCGTATGCAGCTATGGCTAGTTAATAGCAGAGGGCCACATGCGAGCCACCAAATAGACAGAAGCTTGATTCCTATTTGCTACGAGCCGAAATGCACTCTTTTGCAAGCCTCTATCAACGCAGTAGCCATTAGGCCAGACACCCGTCCAATGAGACAATTTTGTGCTCGAGTGATTTAAACTAACAATTAATTTTGTACCTTGTCGCCTGTTCTTTAGCAGCGTGAGAGAGTTTAAACCTATTAAGGCTTCCAAGGGGAAGAAGACCATATTGGAGATAACTGTCGCGATAGCCCCACTAAAATACAATGCGCCTGCAGCTCAGAATAGCATGGGCGTATGGTTCATACTTTAGCTGATGTGCTTTTAGAAGGCTACTGTTGTCATGAATTCACTACAAGAGGAAATGCGTACTGTGAATAATTTTTCAGTAAGCGAGCTGCAAACCAAGGCGTACACAAATAAAAGATTCAACGAATCAATAAAAACCACAGCGACGTAGTTGTGGCCTATACATCGACTCTTTGAACCAAGGACCAAGGAGACCAGTTCTGTGGCTCAATGGAGTCTTCGTTTTCTTTTAATATTAGAATTCTCAGTAGTAGGTCAATACTACAAAAAGGGTGTGATTAACACTGTTGGCCAATCGAGAAAAGCCACAGATTCAAACAACTGTAGACAGAAGAAGGTATTTGTGCAATAACAGTTCGTGCCGTATAGGATTGATGATGGTGGACATTCGTAGCAACAAATAAACCTTCGTTGGCCCCAAATACATCAAAAGACAGAAGGTTTACACTTACCGTTTCTCTGAACGGCTCGGGAGAAAATTTTCTTGGCCACGGGCCCTTAATTTTGGCAAAAGCACTTACACGTTCAGCTTTTGAACTTGAGTGTGACACTAGATAACGTACTGCAGCTGCTTCACACCTGTAGCGTGTGAAGTTCAAAAGCTCACTGAGTCTGACAGTTAAGAAATATGTAGGCTAGTGTGTACTTCTGTGAATCCAGGATCTAAGGCGGAACATAAGGAGTGTGGGTCTTAAGCTCAAACTCGTATGCCAGGGTTGGGATCGTACAAAATAGCATACATCAAGATCATTGGCGTGGGCTCAAGGGCTCAGGTAGCACTATTCTAGGTCGGCGCAGCTCTGAGCGCGCCAGAAACTCGTAGTTCATCAAAACTGGATCTGCAAGTACCTCCCACATGGCGTCCACAAACGCGCTTACCAGATATGTGTGATGCAATTTTAGAGTCGTCCTCTCGTGCCATGGAACGACCACTGCGTGATTCCTGACTTGTCGGATATGCATAGGACAACACCTTATGCACATCGCTCGAACTCAAAGTTTCAGCCCTGTTTTCCTTTGCAGAATTGCCTTCAGTTGACTGATGGCGCTTGCATGTTAGATTCTGTTCGGGGCATAAAAGAGCTTGTTTGCATACCAAACAAATTGTCCCATAGTTGCTCTTCTAAGCTACGCTTTTTGCATCATGCTGCTTGAAATCCCTGCTGTGGAGGCCCCATATAAGACGTCACGTATCAATAATTAGCAATCCGCACGAAGCACTGTAGTGTCACGCTTCTAGTACCGACGCATTGGATACGAAGATGGTGAGTGTAGCAATCATGCTTGCCTCTTTATGGTGGTTGAAGAGCGCTATTCGTGCATCGGTTTAGCGTGCATTGATGAAATGCGCATATTTGCAAGCTCGTAGAGTTTACAGCTAAGTGTTTTTGTGCCTACGTGCGTTTTCCTGAGGCAAAATGTCAGCTTTTGCACTCATGCTTCGAGTAACTAAGTATCTTGAAAGCTGGTTTAAGCTTAGCGTCTCATTGGCTCGTGCACATAATCCGACAAAGCAGTTGCGGCCATGTGGTGCCCACAAAACCATACTTCAGTAGCCTTATTGCAAGGAACGTGTCTCTAACTGTGTATACAAAACCATGGACTCGCCGCAATAGAAGTACAGCAGCAGCCTCTGAGTCACTGGACCTGCTTGACAGCTGCCGAGAAATTAAAGTACAGGGAAAAGCTTTACAGCCTATTTAGAAGTCAACGAAGGCAGTAAAAGAAATTAAAACTGTAGATTACGAAGCGCACTGTATCACCTGCTTATCCGCGTGAGATAAACCGGGCTAGCCGGCGTTTTTTGCACCGTGCTAATGCACTTTTAGGGCGAAGGGGCATGCAACACATCAGTTTCCGTAGAAAGACCCCTCACTCCAAATCAGGATGAACCTAATCCACGGCTCTATCTTTTAATCAAAAACGCTACCTGCTTCTCTTGACCATGCCCCTGAGGATATCTAGATGAGTGGAGTGGAAGAGCTAGGGTGCGCGTTGGTGCACGCATCAAGCAATTCAAGCATTAACAGCTGGTTTCACCTGGCGTCTGGCAGATGAGCACACATAAGTGCTTCTCAATGTATTGCACTAACGTTAAGCCGATAAAATATCATATATGAACGGCTAAACCAAATGTTGACTCCGCTACTTCTAGGTTATGTAACTAGAGTAGTACAAAGTGGCAAACCATGGCTTTGCCCGCCGCCGAGAACGTGACCCAAGTGGAGTAAAGGCATCTCTGTGAAGTAGCCCAGACCCATACTATCACGGCAGTATGAGAGTTTACGAGAGTTTGTGAAATGTTCCTGAACTACAAGGGTGTAACCTTGTCCCCTTATTGCATAGGCCCACACTCCAGGTAACCACTCTTCGCCACACGAAGCTTCACAGTTACCTCCAGGCCCTTAACAGTTGATCCTTGCTGGACTCAAATACGCTGAATGTTCTATTTAGACGCAAAATACCTCATAAAAATACATTATCGCGTACACCCTCACGATCTAACGGTGAATGCATTTCTAATCATCAGGGATGTTGATGCATTGCTTGAAATTTCCAAGTTCCTCTCGTCCTAAGACTCTAAACTTATTGAGTGGTACTGTGGTCTAAGAAAGCTGACAAGAAGTGAATAATTTCATCAATATTCCAACACTTTGTAGGAATAGGCTAGGCGATTCTCAGCGGTGAAATGTGGCGCAATAGAAGATGTCTTAGTTACAATGGCTTAGAACCAGATGCTAGTAAAAGTAATTTATGCGACATTTCGAGTTTTCCTTATATACTTGGATCACCAGCCAGTACAAGTGCTGTTGGCCACGCTGTACCTGTCACTGGTAGAGGGAAAAGCTTGCATAAATTTTAAGATCGACTACTCCAATAATCGAAAAAAATTCAAAAGTAAACCTGCGGCTGGTTGCATGTGTTCCTATGCTCTTCAAAGCTAATTTCGCTATGGATAGCATTGTACCAAAAGACGAAAACTGGGCGTGAACATCGACTGGTAAGGCGATAGGCTAAAAAAGTTGTAGGGGAAAAGTTTACAACGCATTGGTACTCAAAAAACAAAACTTTATAGTACTGAAGGTTTTTCAGAAACATACACTTTCGTTTTAAAACAGTTTCACGAATTTAGTTGGTAGCGCTAGGCGGAACAACGCTGCTTCAAGGTACACTCATTAATTATCAGAAATAGAAGAGCTTTAGACGGAAATACAAAAATTTTTAGCTAATGAAATAGCTTTATTGGGCTTTATAGACCGTGTTTTCTGACTCTTCGACCTGCAGGACGACTGCTTCTTCTTCGCCGCAATGTGGAGTCCATCGAGGTGACCATCGGGGAGCTGCTGAATGTTTCAGAACTTCCACATTGAACCCTACTTATAGAAAGCAGATCCACGATGCTTCCTACAATTTTGTACTGCGTTTTCAGCGTTTTGGTGCACATAAAAGCTTAATGTGTCGGGCATCAAGCAAAGTCGCATTGCTGTGCGGCGCATCAGTGGCATGCCACATCATACGTGACCAGTGCACCTCTGTTTGTGCATAATGGAGGGTGAACACCATTCCTCCAGACCGATAGATTTAAGCAGCAAGGATGTTGTATTAGAGGCGTTACGTGCTGCTGGGAACGCGGTTGAAGGCGATGTAGGTGGCTCCTCTGAAAGCCTCTGGGAACTAGTGTCTGGTGACAACTTAGCTAGCTCTTACTTTTTGAAGTCCCTCTCTATTTCATTGGGGGTGGAGATTCCCTCGAGAGTGCTTCGATGTAAAAAATTTGAGGAGGTTGTGGGGTTGCTTAATAAGGTCACAGCAGGTGCTGGGGTAGATTCTCAAAGTAAGCTTCCAGTGCGCACATTCGGTATCAAGCAGAGGACCCCTCGTGTGGCTATTGTAAGTGTCTCTTGCCGACTTCCAGGAGGCGTTAGGACACTTGGAGACTTGTGGGCTGACGTTCTCATCCTGGGACGGGATGTGATAACCCCTATACCAATTTCCCGTTGGGATGCAGACGTGCTCTACGACCCAGAAGGAAGTAAAGGGACGGTGTACGTTAAAGAGGGAGGATTCCTGGAAGATGCAGATGCATTCGATAACAATTTTTTTGATATCTCCGACCATGAGGTAAGCTCATTTTTGCGTTCCACAACGAACGAAATGCCGGATCTGCAGTCCTGTTCCAAGTGCGCCCGGAACAATTTGTTCTCAGGCTACACAGATGGACCCACAGCAGCGCTTGCTGCTGGAGGCCGCTTTCGAAGCGAGAGTTCCCTTGACAAAGGGCCGGCTAAATCCTCCAGATGAGACTGGAGTTTTCATAGGATCCTCTTGCGTTGATTGGTGGGTACTATTTCATCCCTAGGGTGAGCACCTGTATAGCCTGCCAAAGGAACGTTTAAGCATTGCCTCCGGGAGATCGAGTTCCCTCAAAGGATGCGCAGGTGACAGTGCTTGCATGAATGTATTGGCTACGGGCCATTATATTAGCCGGGAAAATGACTGGTTATTATGTTCTTTGTGCACAACTATTCAGGTTCCTCGTCCATGCAAAGCTGCCTTCGCGGGATGGCCCATCGTGTTTCGTTGCTGACCTCCAGCATGCAATGCTTGCGAATCGTATTTCATACTGCATGAACCTTGAGGGGGCTTCAATGACAATCGACACCGCAACTTCATCAGGTATCGTTGCATTCTGCACAGCTGTGAGCCATATAGAATCCAATCGGATGCTATGTGCTCTTGCTGGGTCGTCTCAACTCATCATTGCTCCAGAGGTTACAGTGGCTCTGTGTAACCTGGGAATGCTCTCACGAACTGGGCGTTGTCGTCCGTTTGATGAGGCTTCGGATGGTTTTATCAGGTCAGAAGGAGTCATAGTTTTTTCGCTCGTTCGAGAAGATTACGTTTCTGAATTTGTGGATACGTCAGCAGTGCAGCCTCTTGCATTTGTTCGGGGGCATGCTGTGGTACACAGTGGAAGGGCTTTTTCAACAACAGCTCCAAGTGAAAGCGCCGAACGGCGTGTTATGGAGGGTGCACTCGCCAAGGCGAAAATGACCCCTGATGAAGTAGACTATATTGAAGCCCATGGTACTGGGACACGGATGGGGGACGCAGTGGAAATGCAAAGCCTGGCTGCCGTCTTTGGGGAATCTCACGAATACGCAAGGCCGCTTCTTGTGGGTTCAATAAAGGGCAACATTGGTCACTGCGAGGGTTCATCGGGCGGTGCAGGGATCTGCAAGGCCATTCTCGTGCTTATAAATCGGTGTGTGCCTGCAACGGTGCATTTCAATCGCCTCAGCAGTCTAATAGATAGGACGCCTCGCTACTTTTTTATCCCTCGAGCTGCAACACAAGTACCTATTGCTGACAGGTCACTGGTGGTAGGGGTAAGCTCATTTGGCGTTGGCGGCTGTAACGGCCATGTAATCTTGGAGGGCCCGAAAACAAATAGCCACGATTTCAAAACCCAGCTAAATGACAAGTGTGCGTGGAAAAGAAATAGATTTCCTTGGTCTCACCTCATTGACATACCAGGACATAATAATGAAGTGGGCTCACCAATCGAAATGGGTATCCCTGCCAGTGCTCGTGCAAGCTCGAGTTTTTCCTTCGAGGACACTGCGCTCAGTATTGTGGACTCCTTTCTAGATGAAAGCATTGACGAGAGCGTCCCTGTGCCCTCTATGGACACAAGAATTCTCAGGAATGGTAGCCAGACAAAGATGACGGGAAGTCGTAGCGGCTCCCTTCAGGACCTTTCATTAACCACAGGGAACTGCGTAAAGGGAGTCCCTGTAGAAGAACCAGCAAAACATATTGCAGCTTCATTTCATTCTGAAGACGCAGGTTCAACCCATTTGGGCGGTTCTAGCCCGCACGGATACACTAATACAGTTCCTTCGGCAGTTCAATGTGGCCGATCGGAAGCGTTATCGACATCTATGCCAAGTATATCTCGCCAAAAAATAAGGGCTGCAGTTGACGAATCGCTCAGACTTGCCCTAAACCGCAATGAAGCTATAGAGGAAACGACCCCGTTTGTAGAGGCGGGAGTAGATTCGATGACATCCATTGGGATTAGAGAAAGTCTTTCAAAGAAGCTTGAGATCCAACTTCCTGCAACCTTGTTGTACGACCATCCCTGCATTGCTGAACTCGTGCCACGATTGGAGCAGCTGCTGTGTGAAGATCGAGGAGTGAGCACAAATCAAGCAATACATCCAGGGCTTTGGCACGCTACTGACGAAAAGGACGTTGCCGTTACTGCACTCTCCTGTAGGCTTCCACCGGGGTCTTACTGCGAATCGGAGTTTTGGGAGGGCTTAAAGGCTGGCCAGGACTGTATCCAACACATTCCACTTTCGCGATTCGATCCGTGGAAATATCGAACCTCAGGTGCAAGCCCGTCCGAGAAGTTGTATGTCAGTGACGCGGGAACATTTCCAGATATGTGTTTATTTGACAACGCGCTATTCAACATTTCCCCTGCTGAAGCCCAGTTGATGGATCCCCATCAGCGTATTTTGTTGGAAGTTTGCCACGAAACAATCGCGCCTGCACTTGATGATCGAAGCCTAGTGGATTTGGCCATTATCGTAGGCTGCTGCAACAATGATTGGGTCAGAGAAACATGCACCTCAGCACAAGAGGCGAAGAGCTTAAGCGGGACAGGTAGTGCAGCATCCATCGTTTCTAATAGGCTGTCGTACGTTTTCAACCTTCATGGACCAAGTATGACCATTGATACTGCTTGTTCCTCGTCTCTTGTGGCTCTTGATGTTGCAAAGCATCTCCTCTCTACCGGCCGCTGCACAGCTGCTCTAGCAGGAGGAGTTCATGTCTTGATTAACCATTATGTCTTTGAGCAGTACTGCAAAGCTCATATGCTAAGCATCGACGGAAGGTGCAAGACCTTCGACGCATCAGCAAATGGCTACGTTCGCAGTGAAGGATGCGGCGCAGTGCTCTTGCAGGCACTGCCACGCGAATCCACGAACCCCAACTCTGTCTATGCGTGGATAAGAGGGGCCGCAAACAACCATGTAGGCAGGAGTGCCAGCCTCACTGCTCCCAACGGACCGGCGCAGCAAGCCGTGATTCGAGCAGCATTGCGTGATGCCCGGATACAATCACCTGCAGACATCTCTGTCTTAGAAGCTCACGGCACTGGGACATCGCTCGGAGATCCTATTGAAGTGGGGGCCGTTCGAGCAGTCTACTGCAATGGCTTCGCAGACAGGCCCCCACTGATCATTGGTGCCTTGAAATCCCTCATGGGTCATGCTGAAGGAGCCGCAGGCATTGCTGGTCTTATCAAACTAATTCTTGTTCTTCAACACAGGACGGCGACTCCCAATCTCCATCTTATCACGCCCAATCCACATATTGATTTGTCTAGAGGTGACAAGTACAGAGACCTCCTATTCCCTAGCAAATGCATTCCTCTCGACACCCTCCTAGGCATTCAAGAGTCCCAGCCGTTGCTGGGTGCAGTGAGTTCATTTGGCTTTGGAGGCTCCAATGCACATGCAATCGTGGAGGTGGAGCCTACATTCAAGGCAACGTGGACAGATGGTGAGGAACAGCTTGTTGCCGGTTCCAGCGATGGTCGCGCTACCGTAGTCTGGCTATTCACTGGACAGGGTTCGCAGTATCTAGATATGGCAAGCGCGTATTTCCATCACAGCGCACTGTTCAGGGATACCATATCTGCATGTACCGCTCAATTGAAGGAGATGAATTGGTTCCCAGCAGATGGACCACAGAGCATCGAAGACTTGGTCTACGGTGCCGAGTCACTAGCGGTCAGGGAGAAAGCGGAGGAGATCTTGAGTCAGACACAGTATTCACAAGTTGCTATCTTTGCCATAGAGTTGGGTTTGAGTAAGGTTTTGTTGGAGCAGGGACTGAAACCAGATATAGTAATTGGTCACAGTTTGGGTGAGTACGCGGCAGCCACTGTTGCAGGTGTGATGGAATGGAAAGACGCTTTGTGTCTAGTTGCGAAGCGTGCTGCACTGCTGGCTGCACAGCCCAACGAAAACGGAGTTATGGTGGCATGTCGTCTATCCGCCGCTGCAGTCCAAGCAGCCCTCACCACAGAGCTACAGCAATTGCAAGCAGTGTCACTGGCAGGTGATAACGGTCCTAACAGTGTTACCATTGCTGGCGCCAAAGAACAGGTCGACTTGCTTCTTGAGCACCTGGGCGTTTCTGCCAATTCAAAACGCTTACACGTGTCCCATGCCTTCCATTCTCCACTCATGGCTGGTGCCGTTTCTGAGATGGAGGCTCTCGCATCCCAAGTAAATTTGCAGCCAGCATCCATCACAATAGCCTCCACAGTGCGTGGAAGAACGCTGGATTCGTCAGAGGCTCAAAATCCGCGTTACTGGAGCGAGCAATTGACACTCCCTGTAAGATTTAGAGAAGCTGTGGAGGCAGCAGTGGAAGCGTCTAAGTCAGACCGAATCGTGTTTGTGGAGATTGGACCTCAGAGGACTCTGGTGAACCTAGCGAAGCAAGTAGTGGCGAGGTTGGCGTCTGTTGATGCTCGGTATTTTGAACTATCAGGACGTGATCGCCAAGGAGAATCTTTGCAGGAGCTGGAGTTGCATGTTAAGGAAATTGTCGCTGCTATTCTTGCGGATCGTCCCTTGCGCTGGAATCATAAGTAAGAATACCTAAGAATCTTAGTATTGCAGGAAGAGCAGTTTAGCCGATACGCTACGCATCACCACGAGCTGCAAAGTGTTCTCTAACCAGTGGTAGTAATTAGTGCACGGCAAGCCATGGGATAGGGCATGTGCTGTGTATGTATCTTGCCAGAAAATTCCCCTTTCCTTTTGAAACAAAAACCCGCTCTCCGAAATACTACAAACCTGCTGCTCCATCCCAGAAAGACTTTCAGATACATCACGGCCCATTCTGGAAAACTGTGTGGAAGAATGTGCCTTTACCTGAGGCACAACGCTTCTCTCTGCCGGAACAAGCAGAGAAATGGCTATTCTGCGGAGTCCCTGGGGAATACGTTTGTGACTTTCGCAACGTTCTCAGCTTATCGGGTATCAAGAATGCCCAAATCCTTGAGGCTAATGGCATTCCCCGCGTCTCCACACTACCTCGCTTGCCGTCTGGAAATGAGATAGAAGGAGTGGTATTTGTAGGAGGTTTGTGGAGCTCTCAATCAAGCACAGTGTGCATAGAAGAGCTCCGGCAGATTCTTCTTGCCTACCACAGGACGGCAGAGAAAGAAGTAAGCTTTCATCCTCCTCTCTGTGTTGTTGTACGATGTAGCAACAGCGCTTTTGGAGTCCCCAGCCTGCGTCATTCTAGGGAGAGTGAAGAGGATTGTGAAATTAGGCATTCTGGCCTCTTGGGTATGTGCCGCACTGCTCGCCTTGAGATTCAAAGGCTGTGCAAAAGGTCAGTGACGGTTGTGTACGCAAATGTGGAGGATGAAGGGCCCCAAAGCTTCAGTAAGGCATTAAGTTGGATCAATACACAATTTGGTCTCGTATATGAAGGTTTACCAATACTCGAGGAGGATATTATTATCACACCAAGCTCCTTCTTGGCGCCACGCCTGCAGCCAATGCCAATTCCCGAGTTCCGAGGGACAGCACTGGTCAGCTTAGCTAAATCCTATCTTATTACAGGAGGAACAGGAGGACTTGGCCTTGCTGTTGCTCAATGGCTGCTGAATCAAGGAGCAGGATTAGTAGTGCTGCTTTCACGAAGTGGGAAACCAAATGAAGCACTGCGACAGACGACAGCGTGGAAGGCGGTTGAGGACGGAATCTGTGAGAAGAAAGCTGAAATCATGGTCTGTGATGTGGTGAACAGAAGTCACGTCAGAGATACGCTATACAGAGTCCACCGAAAACGCCCTCTTGGAGGTATATTTCACTGCGCTGGATTTGAAGGGGATGCTAGTATTCTCCACTCTAATATTCAGAGAATTCAGCTCGTGTACGACCCCAAAGCAAACGGAGCATGGAATTTGCACGTTGCTTGCCAGCAGCTGCAATTAGAAAATGGTCTTGATTTCTTTGTGCTGTTTTCTTCTATATCAACTCTACCTGGAAATGACGCACTTGCACCGTATGCCGCTGCTAACACGTACTTAGACTCTTTGGCGTACTTCCGGGCGTCTCAAGGTCTCCATGCGAAGAGCATTCAGTGGGGACCTTGGGCCGATGTGGGTATGGTCACACGGAATAATAAGTTTGAGCGGATATTTAACTCCCGTGGGATCAAGCCATTTGTCTCGGGAGAAGCCATACAAATTATGGAGCAAGCACTTCAAAATGAAGAACCCTGTATTTGTGCCTTGGTCGTAGATTGGAGAATGTATTCCCGCGCTTTTGATGATAGGATTCCACGGACTCTGGAAGACTTAGTGAGGGACGAACAGACCCCTACACAGCACTCGCAGGAAAAAAAAATAACGAGGGAATTTATTGAATCGGTTGTGCTCGATGCTGCCACATCACTGGTTAATCAGGAAAGCTCTATCACCCCAGAAACACACCTAGAGAGCCTTGGTCTTGACTCGTTAGGCTCCGTTGAACTACGTAACATGATTCAAGAACGACTTGCAATAAGCTTGCCTGCTTCTTTGCTGCTCGAGTTTGCATCGCTTTGTGAAGTCATTGACTATATAGCCGAGGATATGACTAAACGGTCATCTGCAGGTTTCACAAGTAGTGCAAAGGCTCCTGTGCCCCAACTTTCAGTAAATTCCGACGAAGGGTTCGCTGTCATTGGGATGGGATGCCGACTTCCAGGAAACAGCGATTCGCCCGAGGCATTTTGGAACATGCTACTAGCTGGTTCTGATTGTATTAAGAATATTCCGTGGCAGCGATTTAACATTCAGCCTCTCTTCGATCCTGATCCTGATGAGAACAAGTGCTACGTCAAGGAAGCAGCCTTACTTGATAATGCACATCTGTTTGACAACCAGTTTTTCCGAATGAGTGAAAATCAAGCTCGCAATATTGACCCGCAACAGCGTGTACTACTCGAAGTAGCGTACGAAACATTTGTTGACGCACAGTATGGCCGAGAAGAGCTGAAGGGACAGGACATCGGGGTATTTTGTGCTACATACACCAATGAGTATCAGCTTACCAGCCTTACCAAAGGAGAGTCGGGCATCCTTGCTATCGGCGAAGGAGCAGACGGCGGTGTACCACGTTTGGGAGAAGCTTCTGGATACCCTGAACCTGGAGGCATGATGTGTTTGATCCCCAATCGGATATCCTACGCGCTAGGCCTTATCGGGGCGAGTGTCGGAGTGGATACTGCATGTGCATCCGGCCTGGTAGCAATGGACACAGCCGTAATGAAGCTAAAGCTCTGTGCTTGTTCAAAAGCGTTTGTTGGAGCAGTGAGTCTCATCCTAGCACCTTGTTTCTTCCTAGGGGGCAGCAAGACGCGCCAGTTCTCGAAATCAGGCAGGTGTCGCACTTTCGATGCTGGAGCAGATGGCCTTGTGAGAGGTGAAGGGGCTGCAGGAGTGCTACTCGCGCCGTTGCGTACTGCACGAGCAGAATCTAAATTTGTGCACGCTATTGTGCGCGGCATAGCAACTTCCCACTATGGACAGGGTGCACGCCTAACGGCACCAAATACTAGAGCCCTTGTCAGGGTTCTTAATCTAGCACTGGAAGATGGTAAGGTGAATCAATCATTGGTGAGGTGCTACGAGGCCCATGGCACAGCCACAGTTCTTGGGGATATTATTGAAATGAACGCAGTAAAACATGTATTCGAGAATCGGTCTGCTGAGGCTCCACTTATTGTGGGTACTGCCCACAACAACATTGGCCATCTGGATTCTGCCGCAGCCCTCGTTGCATTTGTTAAGACGGTCCTGTCCCTGAAACACAGGTATGTGCCGTCAAACATCCAATTCAACAAGTTGCACCCAAATATCAGTCCATTTGACAAAACCAAGATAATTTACACACGAGAAGGGCAAGATATCCATACAGCAGATAAAGCTCGGCTTTTCGGTGCAAACCTTGCGTATGGACTTGGGGGCACAGTAGTAGCTGCAATCACTGAAGAAGGCGACAATCCATCACTTGCACCCACGGTGAGTGTTTCCAGTAGCAGCGTTAAGAGTGTTGAAAGTGCTGCTTGCTGCACAGTGACTGCTCGACAGACAGCTCGTATGCCAGCAAATGGGACTTCATTATAAGTATGTAGATAACGCCCCTAACAGTGTAGCCGCCATCAAATAGCACGGTTTCTGTTGCGTTCAGATTACACGGCACACGTGGAATCACAATTCTTTCCCGCTGGACGCACAGAAGTTTGTATTCTTATTGGGAGCTGCGTCACAGTTGGCGCAAGACCGCAAGCAAACGCCGACAGACGATGTTGCCTACTTGACTGAATATATCTTCAAGAACTCCCTAAGCAAACAGAGTTTGGCAGCACTGGATCCATGCACACCTCCGGATTCACTTTCAGAGATCTTTCTAACCGGTGCCACTGGCCTCACTGGTAGCCAGATCTTGTGCAGTCTGCTGGAACAGAGGACTTGCAACAGAACACAAAAAGAAAACGGATTCCTCCGCATTTACTGCCTTGTTCAGGCTCGAGACCGTATGCATGCTATGTACAGAATCGTAGATGCTGTTGTGGGAAGAGGCCAACGCTGGAAACCGCGATACTTCAAGCAAATCATACCAGTGGTTGGAGACTTGAAGGCCCCAAGACTAGGTTTGTCTCCGCAAAACTTCGCAACTCTGGCACGCACAATTGATGCTGTGTATCATGCCGGAAGAGACGTTGATTTCGGACTGCCGTACGAAGCAATTCGAAAGGCCAACGTCCTTTCACTTCTACCACTCGTCGAGTTGTGCACGAAAGGAAAGGCTAAACCCCTTCACGTGCTGTCAGACTTCGCAGCCCATATTCAGTACTTTGCAGCGTTTGGGGACGACTTGAATCGGCCACTACCAGAGGAATTGTCTGTTCCACGAGAGCTTATAGATAGGATGGAGAACCAAATGCCGGCAAGTGTCGTTGGATATCCATGGGCACGTTGGGCGGTTGAAGAAGTACTTGCAAATTGTCAGCGTTGGGTGAAAGAATTGGCTGCATCAGCTGATGCCGCCTCCTGCAACCTCGAGAGTAAGTTTACTTTTACAATATACAGGTTGCCCAATTCAGCAGTGTACTTCAACACTGGTCGAGTCGATTTCCGAAACTCATTCTTTGCCATTACAATGGCTGCGCTACAGCAAGGTGTCCTGCCTCCCGGCGTTTTACCAGTGGGTCCTCCTTTTCTGTCAACCCCTATAGATGTATCAGCAGACATCTTAGTTACTATTTCAAGGATGGCTACCCGTCCAAGTGTCATCCACATTGTGAACCCCACTGGGGTTCGACGGCAAGCAATAAAGCAAACTTTGCTGGAACTAGAGATCCCCTTCCGAGAGTCCACCGTGGATGAATTCCTTCGAGGACTTGAGAAAAATCAGAACAGCTCATGTGCTTACCATGTCCTACCCTTAATGCGCGTAAGTCAGTCAAAATAAAGTTGCTGTGTGAGTAGGGTAAATTTGCACTGCGGTGTAAGCAGAAGTACGCGGGACCAAGAGAAAACAGACTCAATAACGTATTAATTTTGGTGCTTTTATGGGGGATTGTACCAGCATGTGTGATGGTAGCTTGAATATTCGGCGCTGCTCTGGGTTTCATCTATCAGGCATGTGCCACTTGGTGCTACCGCTTTGCTGCAGTATTGGAGATCCTACTGGTTCTCTGACGATCTAGACAGGAAAGAACCGTTTCCAATCGAAACACGGAATCTACAATCCTGTCTTCCAGATGCGTTGAACCTATTTCCCTCTCCTGGCGAAGTTTGGACAAGAATGCTAGCCTATCTGTGAGTTGACCTGCATCCCCGGCTCACAGAAACATCTTGCTTTCTTTATTGCGAAGTCCGACCCGCTAAGGAAGAAGCCACTGTGGGGTGCTAGTGCATTGCGATTGTAGCCTCTTCTTCTTCAATTTTCTAGATGAGCATAGTGAACTGTTTGTTGCCCCTCAGCCTGGGAAATTATCACCTCGTCCGGGATCCGTTCGACACGATCTTGCCACGTGGATTACTCGAGCGAATTGGGAAGAGTCTTGTTGCAAATGCACCAACAAACTTATCAACCGACACGCAGCAGATGCTAAAGACGGCACTGCTCAGCAAGACCAATGAGGAGCTCGAGCATGCACTTGAATGGAATAGCGAGCAGTTTTTAGCCCACCCGCTTTACAAATTCCTCCCGGCGCCTCAGTGAGACCGTCTACTGCTTCTTTCTGTAATCATCAATGCATGAAACTTGATTGCTATAGACGAGGTACACTCCCTGATTAATCATGGTTTTGGACGCCAGAGGCAGATCTCGGGGGAAAAATGCCAACCCCTAACAGTTCCGAGTTGGGCCTGCTGCATCCACTTCAACTACTGCAATTCAACAAGTCTTCGATGTCGTGTGGGCACCCTAAGAATCGCAAGCAAGTTAAACAAATTAATCGTGCAAAACGTTGGAATGCGCTTATGTAGGCTGGCGGCAGAAGATAGCAACCGAGTTGTTAAACATAGTAAAAGCTATGTACTGGTTCCATTGCTGCTGATCACGTCAGTCGATCCTGCGTGCAAGAAGTGCTAACCACAGACGTTTTCATAGTACTGTTTTATAACCAAAAAACGTGATGCTACTGGCAGACAAAGACAAGTGGGCTTATCACTTGTGCGGTTTTGTTTTGCCGAGGGCCACGATATAACATTTACTCCGGCAGCCTTATACCAGTAGGAATGGATCTTGATAGGCAGTTTTCAATCTATTACGGGCGTGCAGTGGTAAGCCGTTTCATGTTAGCAAAGGTAACCGCCATTGCGGCAGGTAGCCCTTTGTATGTCCTGGAGTGTGAATGCTTTGAGAATGGCAAGACTTGTACTTGAAGTACTGTGCCTGATGTCACTAAACATGTGCTTCCCATATGCAACCGGAAACGATGTTCCACGCCTACATTCGAAACTTGTTGCACAAGCACGGTAGCGAGATTCTTTGCAATTAAGGAGCACAAGCAAAGTTTTAGGCGAAGAAGGAGCTACCTGTACCGCCAAATTCGACATAAGTAAACTCATTTTCGTATAGCCACAATGGACTTTCAGGATATTACTACGGTGGCGTTCCAAAGATCGCCTGAATTGCGTAAGTACAGATGTTTCTTCAATCATAAGTACGGATGTTTCTTCAATCAGAGTTTACTATTGCTGTGCGACAATGCTGATCACGACACGCGAGCAGCACTGCACTTTGGGGTGCTTTGGACGGATACAATTTTACCATAAGCGCACGTGTTAGGGTTTTTTTAAAAAAAACTATATCGTGGTGTGCGGCAGGAGTGTTGAAACCGTAGGACATTGTGCACCAGGGGCTGAAGAGCACGTACTTTAACAGGCGAACAGCTGAAACAGCAGATCGAAATAGCAAGAAGGAACGCTCAAAATGTACTGCGGTTCTATAAGGGCGAAGTGGAAAGGGCAGTATGGTACTCTTGAAACGTAAGCATGCCGCTCAGTTGGACACGGGTCAGCTCTTACTGATGAAGGGCACATGATGCGTTACTTCCACACTCCTTAGCGTCAGTGTACACAATTGTCTTCCTGTGTGGTTTCCTTGATTCTCTTTATTTTACCAGACCCAGCAATCTGAAAAATGATGTCGATTTTGCTGTGTTAATCGCGCAAAAGATAAATGTGAGCCCGAAGTCGTGTGCCCAAGAAACAAGTGAGAATTCGGGGAAAATTAGCTTCGTAGTGTCGAAGCACAAATCCTACAGAAAATGCATCCTAGGAATGGAGCTAGCAATTTTCCCAGAAGTCTTCCGTTGTGCCACGCATAACTACGCAGACCACAAACATGTAGCAGGCCAGGATACAATTCAACACTTTCTACTATTCTGCTTACATCGATGTACAATTCAGCATGGGGTTGGCCATGTGGTTTGGCTGTCCATATATCTAATTTATAGCACGGTAGCTGTAGCGCTATACAATAAGACGCAGTGATGTGTTTATGTGTGCTGCATTGGATTCGCAGCTACATGTAAATTTGGGAGTGCTTAGAAGGTGCCGCTGCACGTACCCTAGCTACCCCTCTGCCCTCATCTTCAAAGCCCCTATGGGTGCGGGAAGGGAAAGGTGAAAACGACTGTGCGGAACAGCACCTGATAACGTTCTATATGTTTGGGTGGAATCTGAAGTCAGATGTCATCCTACGGAAGCTTTACGTGGAGTGTTGCAGCTCCTAGCATCTCACAGTTCGATCCAGTGAATTCTCCGCTCACTCGCTGACTGTGGCTGCATTGGGATTTCAGGTTCCCCCGCACACGTTCCCTTGTTTTCCTTAAAATACATCGTAGTTCAATAGTTCTATTTTCCTTGCCAGCTGTTTGGGGGAAGCAAACTTTGGATATAGACTATGACGGGGGACAACCTCTTTCGGGGCAGCGCAGATCGCCCTGCACGCTATGCCAATGCAGTAACTGCACAGTTGGTAGAGTGGCATGTTATGTCAGCCAAAATCCTCATTATGGATACATCTGTGAGGCTATGCCAACCAAGCTATTACAATAACCGTAAAGATGGCCACGTTCGTGAAGATTTTATTAGCCTCTTGGAACTCCAAATAGTCGTGTACCCCGCAGGAGAGGAGAAACAAGTGATCCATGTGGCACGTTGATCGGATGAGGAAGCACTTCAGGTGTGGTTCGATTTATGCAGAAAGAGCCTACGCTCTGCAGAAATTACTGCAAGTCAAGCCGTCATACCTCCCTATTTTATTGGTTATTGCTAGGACCAGCTCAACAGCAAGTTTTGGGAAAATTGAGAGATGAAATAGGGGAGCATACCAATAGATCAAGCTATAGAGAAGCTGATTTTTTGGCTTCCAAGAGCCATAACATGGACGAACTGATACTGTCTCAGTGGTCAATCTCAAGTACAACCGAAGTTAGCTGTCAGGTGGTCGCAGGATGAGCAGCACCTCAGCGCATAAACAACCGGCTGGTGCTGTCCCTACAAATGATAGGCCATGTGAGGATTTTAGAGCAAACGAGTGCAATTACTGCGTCTTCAGATGAGAACGACAGGCAAAATTAAGGTGTAGAATCCATGGCATTGCTGCCGTTTCTACCGGATCCACCTTACATGTATGGTGAAGGATGAATAAAAGCCAAAAGGACCAGCACTTCTAAGAAGCTCTTTGAAGCCTTCCAAAGCGCATCTGCTTGCACTATGGGAAGCTGAATCGTATAATCCAACACCGCAAACGCATGAGAAAGGCCGACAGTCTTGAACAGCAGAACGGGGCCCACCAGAAACAGGCTGATTGGGAAGCAACGATGCCCATATGGGATGCCGAAAACCTTTTACGCAGACGCCAGCGCAGTAAAAGGGGATACAGAGGATAGAGTCGAAGCTGGAGACTCCGCAGTCTGCGCTGACACTTTCACATTAATGTTCAAGAAATGCCACTATCTTAAGCCTGATTATGAAGTGAGTTTGCTCTTTGGGGAGGTCGCAAAAGTGCACTCTGTATTGAGTACAAAGCGCAGTCCCTTAGACTCAAACTTGGTGGCGGGGGACGTAGCTAAAAGGCTGGCGACGGCATGGTAGTAAAATGCAATTTTAAGCCGGAATTGCACTATATGAGCATGAAGGGTTACTACTATGTTGGGCTTACAGGTAATTTTAGGTAGTGCAATGAAGGGGCGTATGCAGCCACGCTGCGCGCTGTGCAGGTTAGTCTGCAACACGCGCTAGAAAGGGGCATCTCCTGGTCTTCTCAATAGCACCCAATTCACTTATAATACGCGGGAAAAACTTGGTGCCGCAACAAAACGAGGCAGAGTCTTCAAGGGGACGCTCAGCAGCGCAGTGATAGAAGGCAGTTCTGAGCATGCATTCAGTCTTAATCGATTCGCCAATAGCTATTCTGTTAGCGAACCCGGTTGCTCTATCAGTCCAGGAGCTGCAAAAATGGATAAAGATCGGGGAGAAACTTGCACATGTAGTAGAGAATGACGAGCTCCCAGTGGTGTCCTACTTACCTGTCGCCTGGTTCATTGTGTTGAACTAATCTTTATTTCAGCCCAAAGCCATATACCGCCTTATCAAAAGCTTCAACAGTCTAAAAAGGTGATGGAGTTGTAAGGGTAGTGGTCGTTGTAAAAAAGCAAAAGACGATATTAGACTAGCGCCTAGGGGCATGACTTCGTATCGGTGCATACTGCAACTTTTCGTTCCTGGAAAGAAATAGAGTGAATCCAAGGTTTATTATACCTCACATCGGGGAATCAGTTGGCAAATTGCTTGGACCAACATTCTACTTTACATTTGACTTCGCAGACACCTGTTTACGAATCTCTATTCACCCCAATGCCAGGATAGCAACGACGTTCTACATTTGCACTGGCAAGCTCTAGTATACCTGGGTGGTGTTTGGATGTGTAACTACCCGGACAAACTGCAATTGCAAGTTAACCGGGATTTCAATGGGCCTCAGGAAGGGCAGTGGGTGGCTCTCCACATGCGCGACGCGTTAGTACTCAACCGAAGCCTTGTAGAGCACGTCCAGCAAGTACAGCGTGGGATTTAGCTGTTCCCGAACAGTCAGTGGTAGGTGGAGGGATGCAAAATTTTTTCATGAGCACAACTGTGGCTTGGTATTTTTGTGTTTGCTTGAAGAAATGATGCCAGATCCTGGAACATGCAAGGCGTGGCGTTCTCCTTGGCATCCGATAAAACGCAGAGAAGTTCCATGGGCTTGTTTGCTTCTAGCGAAATTTCATTTCTAGATTCTCTCTACTTTCTTCTCTTCCAACTGCTCTACTTTTATAGCCTTACTTTGTGGCCAGCACGAATGAGGGTGATGCTACGGGAAAAACGCTTTTTGGCTCCTTTCAGGTCTCCCGGTACTCTTTCCCCACTCGGGAAGGAGTGCCATTTCTTCCCAGAAGCCTGTGAGGATAAGGCAGCTGTGCGTGCTATTGTCTCTCTACAGCTTAAAGCTTCTGTAAAGCATCACACGGTTGCATAGCCCTATGCGCTGCGTCCTGGCATAGAAAATGCCCGCATTATTTATATAGGTGCCACTTTACTGTCCTGACTGGCCACAGCCATTCACGTACCTTACAAAGAATTCCATGATTTTGATAATGTTAGAGGTGTTCGGTGGCTTGAGCGTCTCTTGCAGCACGGTTTGATTCTGAAGCGCATTGAGTGCATCAGCTGTGTCGCTGTACCGCTCTCGCGAGTCCGAGAAATTCACTAATGCGCAGTGCACCCACTCTTGTCTATGAAGCTTTACAATTTATACTGCAACTGCGTGACCCCTATGCAGTTGACACCCGTGCATCTACTACTATTTCCAACATGCAGAATGACAAAAGGGCGCAGCCCTACCACACTTTTTATCGCTTACGTTATTCAGAACAAGGCGGTAACTGAGTCGCTTGTACATTCCAACTGCACCCCACAGCCCCATTTTACCCAAAGAGCCTGTGAAGTTCTTTCGAGCCATATTGGGATTCACACTACAAAAGGAAAGCTATCCTGGTTGTGGTGGCTCCGGCGGAGTCCGACGGCCAAGGGTTACACAATGCCATTACCACATGGACAGCAGCAAGAGCCACGCAGTTTGTCTAAACCCGGCGTCCTGCGGAATCTTCCTGTTCCGGAAAGAATTTGGACTTGGTTTGACAATGGAGATTTAACTGCGCAACCGCCGGAGGTCAAAGTTCACGATAGCATCTACGTTCACTGTCAACAACTCAGCAAATAAAGCCATTCCGCTTTTTCTCCAGCTCTGTCACAACTCAACCAGTCGCTCACTCATTCATATTAAGTGCCTTGAGGCTCGCAAGCCTCCATCATCCGTAGGGATTCGAAGTTAATTCGAGTTCTCTGGCGTACCTTTAAAACCCGTCCTAGTTGGCCATAAGGTGACCTGCGGCGACCACCTTCAAGCGTTTGAACACACAAAGTTCACCAACGAGCTCTTTGCTACTATAAGCCTTGTCCCTTGGCTGACTTTTATTACCTGTGTTGAGGAGCTTGATAGTTCAGCCGTACGCTCGTCTACCCATCGCTCTCTCGCAACGCTCGCCTACAATGAAAAACGGCTTCCGTATCGGGCCTGGACCTGATGGTCCAACTTAAGCAACCACACTTAGGGGTGGACGGAATCATAGAACAACTGGCTAGTTGAAATATATAGATAAGCAAAAGTCTAGAAACACGAGCAAGGAATTATGACAAGCCGCATTTTAGCTGTGCTTTGAATAAGGAGATACGGTCGTGATAGATCGGTAGGCTTCACGAGATATACCAGAAGGTGACAAGATGAAACGATTTGCGGCCAGGTAGCTTGAACCATTTGCGATTCTTCCATGGATCAATGCCCTTTCTTAGTCGATCGAGTGCTCTGAGCTTGAAACGCTCGCAGAACTATCAAATTTGGATTCTTTAAACGTCTTAAAACCCCCGAAATTACTCGGGGACTTTGACCAGCAGGCAAGAGAGCGATGTGAGGGCGGAAGACCTGCATGAATCAATAGAAGTGCTCGCATGACGTTGAGAGTATTAGGCGCTGAGAGCACACATAACCATGGTCTCTAGTTTAACGGGGTGGCGAATGCAAGCATTACTTGCTGATCGATGAGCGATTGCGGGCTGCGCTTACGGCAGGAGGAGTAACGCCTCTGCCTTGTTCAGGAGGCTACTCATTATGCGCTGCCCTAAACAGCCACCTTTACCTGTAGATGCTGCTTGAGACGTCCCTGGTTGGTAGTGTTAAGGTGGTTCCCACACTCATGTGCACGCGCACACCCTTTTAAGTATTCTTGCCCCTGCATTAGTCCTTATGCAACTTTCTTGGGCTCTGAAATATGCGACAAGCAGCATCGGCTCCATTGGCAAGCGGGCATTGCTGTCTTCAGCGCGAAGGCACTGTTGAAGCAGTATGTATATCCTTTTTGGCATTTTACCTGCCGTCTGTTTTCTCGCAGCAAATGGTTCACATAATTCAGCGTTTTGACGACAGCGAGCCATCTTTCTCTCACAGTCATGTTAGTTGTGTCTCGTAGGTTTTCTGGACGATATATGTCTATTTTCATCCCGTGTACTTCAGCTAGTGATTGATGCGAGTATTTCGTTTTCGCAAACTGTTTCCGCGTTTGCGCGTGCTTGAGAACTGGTGATGGAGGAGGTAGTTCGCCGCTGTCCTGCACTTAGTTGGTCTCGACAAAGAAAAAAATGGAGCAACGGCGCGTTTTCCGCAGGGAGGGTAAGGAAGATGTAGTGGGCCAAGCCGCACATGAGCATTTCTTAGTATGCTAGGCGTATCTAATTAAAAATTGGTGAAGTTGTGACTGCAACGCCACTGACTAATCATTTTGATTGTTCGTACATCATGTGTTTTGCGAAGTAGTGTTAGTTCGAAACAACAATGCACATGCTGTGTGCGTGTGCGCTAAATGCTATGTGAAACTAGGTGTCGATGCTCTGAGTGCTGAGAGGATGCAGGTACGCGCTCTACATCTGTCCGTCTCCCCTGATTTTGGGAGTACTTAATGGCGCGAGCACGGGAAGGAGAGAGCTCTCCCTCGTTCGAGGCCACAGATGAAGTGTCAGAGTTAGACTGTTCCAATATTCATTTTGTTGCGTAGCAGGCATAGTAGAATACAATAAGAATCAATGGTGTGTGCGTAAGTGCTAAAAGATATGTTTGACTAGCTATGAATCTGGGAATGCTTGGAGAATGCAACAGCGCACCTCCCCTCCCCTTACTTTGAGAGCCCTGATGGGCGCAAGCACAGAAGGGAGAAGGCCCTTCGACACGCTCGGCATTTTAAAAGTTTGTATTAAGCTTGGATTCAGGCATTTCCCCACGAAGGCTTTATATGGAAAGCTACGAGATGCCTGTTTCCAGTATTGCCCCTTCAGCAAGTTGTTGTTTGTGGAGGCTTAGCATGGTCCTTGCTCACTGCATGGGTCTACAAAGCTCACCAGACATTCACGTTGTCTGTCGAAATGCAGCAATAAGCCCTATGGGTTGAAACGATTGCGTTTGCTGCAGCGTGTTCATATTCTCTGGTGAGTATTCACAAGTAGGGCCGCTGTACCCAAAAAGGGGAAAACAAGACAGCAGGTGCTTCAATGCCTGTAGGATGAAGGCGCGAAACGATGCAGTCAGAGGGTGTGATTGGCAGTGGACGGAGAAAGAGCACTGGCCAAAGGGATTGAAGGGGGATAGGTGGTGTTCTGGGTCGGTCTGGGGGGTGCTAGACTGCTGAGCGCTTAAGCTACTCTGGAACGCGCGAAGTTCTGTGCAAAAAATATCAGTTTAGAGTTGCTGCGGATTCTTTCCAGTACACAACTATTCTTTCTGGAACCCTGCCTGTGCGACTGCAGCAGCAAAGATACATAAAAGTGGGTCCGACAGTTGTTTGGGGTCCCTTGTCTGCCTCGTATCTCATTATTCGCCTAGTTCCTCTACCAAATCAGTAGCGAGATTTTGTTTTCCTCCGGTTCGCGTTCTGCTGTACGAACACTGAGCGTATTCTCTTTGGCAGGCAACGCGAACGCTGTGTGTGGTGCGTCCACCCTCGGACCTGACCAGCTCCTTGGTGGCTCACTTTTATACAGCGGCGACGCCTTACCAGCAGTCTAGCGGCTGGTCGGCATGGCTCTAACCCCTGCATGAGGCGGCAGGGGTGTGAAACACAGAGCTTTTTGCACTCTCCGGCAGCTGGTGCGCCACCTAACAGCCTCTCCCTCGGCTTCAGTCGCTTCGCCAATGCCCCCCGCACCCCCCTTAGGCCTGAAGCCGCCAATGCAATGCTTAATCCCCAGTGGGAGCTGCCAACACGGGCAGATCACCCTTTAGCACCCAAGGTTGAACCGCCTGCTGCCCTACTCGAGCGTGCTGGCGTCCCCCCAGCCGTTTCTCTCCTCCCCCGGGGTTTATCGGAGAGCTTCCCCCCTTCGCAGCAGCGGCATCGGCAAGTGCTAGCTTGGCGGCAGCAACAGAAGTTGAAGCACTCAGATTGCGCCCCCGGTGCGGGCTGTGGATGCTCGAATGGGTGCAGCAGCAAGAGCAGCAGCAGCAGCAATGGGTGCAGCAGCAAGAGCAGCAGCAGCAGCAATGGGTGCAGCAGCAGCAGCGACCCCTGCAGCGCCAGCTGGCCGGCAGCGCCACCACCGCAGTGTGGGAGACCCCTTCGCACGTACAAGGGAATGCAGTTTTGCTGTTGCAGTAGCTGGAGCAGCAGAGGCAGCAGCAGCAGCATCAGAGTGGCGGCATCGAGCACACCAACACGCATTTCGTCCTCGGCATCATCACCCTGCTGCTGCTGCTGCTACGCAGCAGCAGCAGCCACAAAAACAGACGCCAATTTTTATGGTGTTCCCCTGCGTACAGCCCCACTCTCCACAACTGACGGGCGTCACAGCGACGCCAGCGGCAGTTGCTGCATGCACTGCTGCGTCTCGCCTCGAGCACCGCGGAGATCCCCCCTCCCTATTTTTCTTCGGCTGTCAACAGGGGGGCCTCCGGTAGCTAAGGAAGCAGCAGCAGCAGCAGCAGCAGCAGCAGCAGCAGCAGCAGCGCCCCAGGGGCCTCCCGAAGGGCCCCCCTTGTCAGTTGATGGAACGCATGCGGAGGCAGCACCAGCGCGAGAAAGGAAGACTTCGCCCGTCCCTTCTAGAGCGCCAGGGCAGCAAGCCGGCTGCCTCCTTTCTCTTATAGGTAGACCAAAAAACAAGGTTCGACGAAGATCAGCTGCAGCACTATCTGCAGGAGCTGCAGCGACGCCCTTCGGCGGCACAAGCCTCGTACCGCTCAAGGTTAGGGAGAGTTTGCAGTCAGCCTTGGGGGGGTGGCAGCAGGTTCCGCTCAGCCTGCCCATGCCCCTCTCCCTGGCGCCTAGTTCGTATTCTTCACGCCTGAAGGCGGCAGCCAAAGCAGCCATAGCCGCGGCAGAGGCAGGCAGCTCTACGAGGTATCATTTAGACAATGCAGTGTTGCTATTGCAGCTAGCATTCGACCTGCAGCAAGGCTCCGTGTTGCTGCCAACCCTCCACATTGCGGCTTCGGAGAAAAGCCCAGCCGCTTTGCAGCCCTGTGGGGCCCTCCTCTGCAGCAGCAGCCGATGTGGCTGCAGAGCTTTCACGACTTCGGCAGCAGTTGGTGCTGCCGCTGCTCCGCATATGGGAGCTCCTCCGGATATTCAGGTGTGTGAAAGCTGCTGCTGCTGCTGCGCGTACGCCTCCTCCACGGAGGTCGTTCTCGCACGGCTGCCTGTCATTGCTCCTGAAGAGCTCCAGCAGCTGCATGCCGCCGCTGTGCAGCTCTACGGGGACAGGGCAGGGCCCCCCCTTTGGCAGCAGCAGCTGCAGTTCAGCAGAGAGAGCGCAAGGCAAAGCGGCCCACTGCCGCAGCTGCAGCGCTCGCAGCATCAGGTGGCTAACTCAGCGCAAACCCTTGGAGGAGGAGAGGCGCGCGAGAAGCGCTCGGAGCAGCCAGAGCACAAGCATAAACAGCAGCAACGCAAGGGCCCCACGGGGTCTTCTGGGCATCATTATCATCATCAGCGACGACACTTCATCGAGAATCCTCGTCGGAACCCCGCAGCGCCTGCTGCCAATTCAGCAGCTGCCGCTGCAACTTGCGGCGAGAGAGCGGGAGGCAGACACCGAAAAAAGCCCAGCAAATCTCGCCGCACACCCCCAGCTGCAGAGACTCAAGCTCGCTGCAACAGAATACCAGCGGCAGTTCCCGAACAAGCCGCGGCAACGCGCCATGCGGTTTCTGCCGCCGCTTCATCCCGCCGCAAGGCCTTTAGGGGGCTTTGTGCAGCCTTAGGATTCATGGCAGGGGCCCTCCTACAAGAGAAAGCCACCACCAGCGCACCAGGAGCAGCCACAGGGAGCTCCAAAGACGGGAAGCCCGAGAGCGACAGCTGCCGCAGCAGTAAAGGTGCAACTAGTGGCTGCCCACGCAACGCTGCAGCGAGCTGCAAGCCGGATGCCTTGCGGGCAGACAGCAGCAGCAGCAGCAGCACACTGGAGCTACCGACAATGGTCGCCAGACCCAGTCGGTCTATTCCAGGAACAGATCAGCGCTGTAGTAAAGAAAGCCTCAGGGGCCCCCGGGGCCCTCCCGGAGTCAGTGGCGCCGAGGGGCCCTCGTGGGCCCCTGGGGGCCTCCCCACACCAGAGGGCGCAGCGTTGTAGCACGAGGGCTGCTTGGCTCTATACAGCGCAGGAGCTTCTAGTAGGGGGCTCCTGTACGAGCACCCGTGTGCTTAGCCGTATTCTCTGGATCCGGCACTCTGAACTCTCTGATTCAGCAGCTAAGCCTCGCTGCAGCCGCAGCTGTGTCGCGCGTTTGAAGACTCAGAATATTTGCTGCAACAGTTTTCGTCGGAGATGCAATCTCCAAAGACAAATGCAAGGACGCCCGCGCATCGTTTCGAACGAGCTTTGCCAGCTGCTCCTCCTCTTACCTCTCCACTGCATGTGTGTGCATCCAGCTAGCTAAAAGCCAAGCTATGAAATAATCAGTAGCACAAAAAGACCAAGGGCGATACAGAACAACCAAACAATGGTCCATAGCTGCCGCATGTCTGCATACACCGAAACAGCGCACTACACACACAGCTTGTGCTGGCAGTGCAGGAATCTTCCAGCCCTCCCAAACCCCAAGTATTTGCGCATTTGTGAAGAGCGAAACACAGGCAGATAGGTGCGATTCCGAAGTTGGCAAACGATACATCGTGTGCAACAGTAGCCGTGCGCCTACCGGAGCTCCGTACGACCCTCGCTAAGCTCCTCATGACGAAATTCATTTCGCTCGCTGCAGCAACACACAAGCACACATAAAGCAGCGCGTTAAACCGCCACACGCTTGAACTCCTGCTTGCTTCCTCTGTTTCCCGCGAGCTGCCACTCAGGATCTGCAGCATCAATGGCAGCAGCCTCAACGGCACCTGCATGCCACGGATCAAGCTGTTGGTGATGAATTCCTCTATTATAAGCTCCTCTAAAAGAAATTCAATTGCGGCATCGGCGGAGCCTGATGCAGCAGCAATGAAATATTAAGGCCTGTGCGGCAAGAGATACCTTGCCGTTCAAGTGTGTCATCCAAGTCTGTTAGCATTCTCTGCTGCGTTTCCAGTTCCTGGTTGATTGTGAGAGCTGTCTCATGAAGGCGCGATGCCGCATGTGCCAACTCATCCAGTTGTTCATCTTGCTGCTGCACTAGTGTCTGAACACAGCACGAAAGAGTAGAACAAGGGCGTTCAGGGTGGCTAACTGGCGTGTGGGTAGGACAGCACTAAAGGGAAGACGCTGACACCTCAGAAGCCAAGGTTCCCCCATGTCTACGCAAAAGCCACATAAGGCCTAATCACGCCTCTTTCTGGCAAGTGCTTGTGCCGCATCGAGCTAGTGTTGGGTACATTGATACTACGGAGCACTGCTGCTCCTACTTGTTGCTTCTGCTCGGCGCCCCCCCAAAACTCGTTGCTAGAACTGGAGGCTTCAGACATCCATTGATGAGGGGCCCCCGCAGCCTGAATGAACGCGCAAGGCAGATAGATACACACAGTAGCGCCATCCAGCTCATACACAGAACAGCATACAACTTCGTCAGCACACGCCTCCACGGATTGCGAGTTGCAGAATTGCTACTGCGGAGTTCAGGGGTTGCTGAGGCTTAGGGAGCCGGAAGTATGACCACTGCGACCTTGATATCTGCTTTGAGATCGTTGAGCTGCTTCTGTTGTTGCTGCACAAAGGCTTTTCTTTTCTCGATTTCGGTATCGTGAAGCCCGAGACGCTGCTGGTGTCTGGAGGCAACCGCAACTGCCTTGTCGAGCGCCCGGAGATCCGCAGCCAGCGCGTCAGCCGAGGAATCAATTGTGCCTTTCAAACTGCAGCAAAAGCAACAACGCACAGCAGGTGTATGGCTCCCCACGAAGCAAGGAATAACAAGAAACAGATGCCCGGACAGGCGTGAGTGCGCAAACAAACGTGTACCTGCCACTATGTGTAGTCTTGAATTTTTTCTGTTAGCGCGTTGGGGGAAACAGCGGTGATATGCAAGGAAAATTGGGAAATTAAGGTGGAGAGGAAGGCAGGCAGGAGCGGCTAGCAGCGGAGGTGGAGCAGGTCACACAAACTGCCGCACAAGCATCAGGAGGAGGCTTTTGACGTCTACACAGAGCTTCAGAGATGCGCTGAACACCAGTAGAAAGGAAACACGTAGACGCCGTTGAGAGAACAACGGAGAGTCGGAGGCAGCCACAGGGTAAGGCACAAGAGCGTTCACACGAGCAGAGGTAGGCAGAAGCAGCAACTGGTGACACAGGTGCACATACAGAAGTGGGAAGCTAAGCGTTCGAGACATTCTCGTACCTCAGACACTTCGATGGGTGGCCTCGCACTTGAATTTGCTGTTTCCACTCCCGGTGTAATCTCTGCAGTTCGGCAAAGTTCATTTCTACCTCCCTGAGATTCAACAGCAGCAGCACACACACACATACGCAGCGTCTCTACTAAGGAGATGACAGGAGAGTCGTCATGTCGCCTTTTCTTGTTGGCCTTTTCTCCCCATGACGAACGAGCAAGCAAGACAGCAGTGTTTTCCTGTGGTGCTGCTGCTGCAGTCTTACTCGCGGGCCGCATAAAAGGGATCGTCTGAATTGTTTGACATCATCTTCTCTCCATCAAGACGACCGCTTTTATCTCTGCTATTAGGTGGAGGGCAGTTGCTGCTCCTGCTCTGCCTGATGCCGTTATAGCGGCTCCTACTTCAAGCCTTTCTGCAGGCGTTCCTGGGGTCAGGAAACGGTCTAAATATTGAAGCCCTCGCTTGCCGGCAACCAATTTCCTGATATTGTTCTGTATCTAAGCTGCCGCTGCAACATTTAGAGCTGCTGCATTGACGCCGACTCGAGCGCCCTCCAGAGGTGACGCGTTGTGTGCGAGTCAGACGATGCAGAAGCTGCCAGAAATGACGCTGAGCCGCAGCAGCAGTGCGGCTTCGCCTCTTCTAAATGTCCAATAGTTGCTCGTTTCCTCCGTCCTGTGTGTTACTTAGAAATACAACGGGGGAAAGGCATAGAAAGGGTCAGACACAGAGGAACAGCTAGACATGCTGTCTCCACCCAGTCTTGCATGCCCCAGAGAGACTATTGTGGCTTCGAGATGCGGGAACCATTTGGACATGCGCCGACTGACTCAAAAGGAATATATGAAATCAGTGAATGATAAACACCCCAAGACATTGTCTTTGGCAAGCGCATGCAGCCCCAAACGAACGGTGACTTGCGCACCCACGCACATCCTCGGAGCCTTCGGGGAAATACGGGTGTTCTGGTTTTGTGCGTGCACATACAGTGCCGCGCGTTCCCCTCAATCGGGCTGGGGAGTCAGCAAGAAAGGCTAGTGCATTGATACTCAGCATTCTCGTCGTTCCTTGCCGACGCTACATTGAGCTACTTATTAGTACTTGCTGCACATTTACGATACCCATATGTTGCATTACATCCGAAGAGTGATCTAATTTCGTTGCCATTAATGGAAGATTGAAACATGATGGCGAATTCACCATTCCCTCTCTGCTTCCCCTAGGATTGTTGCCGCTCGCACCCATTGCTATCTCTTGTTCTACATCTAACGAGCGAAATGTCAAATGCGGCACATACAGCACAACCTTTCCAACCAAAGTCTAGGCAGCAAGTCCAAGTAAATGGCTGCTGCAGCCGCATGCAGTTCTGCACACCTGCGGCCCACAGTATGCTGCTAGGCCTTGTTACACGTGCTACGGCATCAGCTGCATCAGCAGGTACTGCTTCTACTGCTGCAGTAGATAAGGTAGTATGCGTGTAAGTCGTTGAAGTATGTCACTTCAAGAGTTTCTACTGCTCAGATCACAGTCAAGTTGTTTAGATGATGCCGATCTTGTTTGCAACATCGAGGGCGTCGAACTCAGCAGTAAGGCGGACGTAGGCCTTCTTCTTTCCGTCCATCCTGCAGTAACAAAAAACAGCGACGATTGCACACATGCCGACCACAATGGAGGCTCAATCCTGCTCGCCTCCTTAATGCCCTTGCATACACAAAATTGTGCACCAAAAAAGGGGCTGAGGAGTGTCTGAGAGCCGACTGGCAGAAAGAAAAGCGTAAAGGCCCTGCAACGCAAAGGACCAGTTTCTTCCCGCTAATGAACTCTCCCTCTTGTTATCGCGTAAACTGCTGCATCGCCTACCCCCAGTCACAGAAGCAGGTGAGAGAAGACAGCAGCACGCAATGACAGGCAGCCATCCGAACACGAGGTGAAAAAGAGGTCGCAAAAGACGCATACACGATGCACAAGGAACCAACTTTTACGAGTTTCCATCTGGCGGATATCTTCCCTTAAACTATCTATGCATGTGTACAAACATACAGCACACGCCCGTTGCTTGCCTCCACATGCATGCCTCCACAAATTGCACTTGCCTAATGAGTGTGTTAATCTTCTGGGCAGCAACACCGTAGGTCTCCTTCACGGCCTCCCGGATGCCTCTCTTGGAAGCTCTAGGATCGCACAGGAAGACCAAAGTGTTTGTTTCCTCGATCTTCTTTATCGCACTTTCCGTCATCAGCGGCTGCTGAAGCACACGGTACTTGTCATTTCGCTGCAAAGCGGGAACGGGGTTAGCAGTCCACAACCGAGAGAGCCGGGGAGCCTTTGGTTGGCGCTGCTTCTTCAGGGTCTGGGGCCTGAAGTTCAACAAAAAAGAAGGCGAGAATGAGCGAAATTGTTGAGTGGCTGTGTAGCGACAGATTGAGAGATCCAGCGTCAAAGGCCAACATCGCAATGTGAGGAAACCTAGAAAAATCTTGCTTCCTTTCCCATGCTGTAATACCAAACCGCTCGAGCTGCTAAATTGCACTCGAAGTCTGGATTGTTTGTGTTATATATATAGAACCAACGGATGGGCAACTCGCGCCTGTGAACTTGCATGTGCATTCACACATGTACATACACACCCAGCTGGCGCACTCCCCTATCGCCTGCGGTGCATGCTTGCTTGTGAGGCTTGCCCTATGGCCCCTGTAGAATCCAACTCAAAGACCAAACTGCAGGTTCCCTTTGGCAAATTCTTGTTGACCACTTACCGATGAAATCGCACGCTGTACCTCGCCTTGGCTGCTGATGATCTATTGGGCTTCTTCAGTCCCTTGGAAACCGCCTGAGCCTTTCTCACTTTATCCGCCCCACCCTTCTTCCCCTTGGCTACGGCTCCTGCGTCAACGCACAACACAACAACCCCACCATGCGGCGCCCTTAGAAACTCTGCGTGCTGTCGCCGCTGCGCGAATCTGAACACGCGCCATCTCTCGGCGCGGACTCATCACCAGGCGGCACAAGAACCTTGCGACGAGAGCAGCCATACGTATTGTACATAGGCCAGTAATAACAAAAAGGAGCAAGCGCCTTCAAACGAGAAGAGAAACGCCATTCGCTGCTGCGGAGGACGCTGCATGACGTGCTGCGGGGAGGGTCTCTAGCGGCAGCAAGCGCCTTATTCACAGCATGGCAGCTACAAGTGCCCCCCTAGTTTACGCTATTTCAAACAGGAGAGAAAGTCACAGGACTGCGAGGATGAAACAACCCAACCTCTCGAGGTGCCACACACGTTATTCTCGCTTCTGCTGTGGCGTGGGGAGGCTGCGGGGGGCGAAGCCTACCTCTATCCTTGGGTGCCATCGTGCAAACAAAGAAGAAGAGCAAAAAACAGACAAGGGATAGCGTGGGGAAGCAGCAACTGCACCAACAAACCCACTAGTAGAACGCCTGCTGTCGCTGTTTCACCATGTGCTGAGTGGCCCCTCTCATGGTGCTCGCTCGTGCGGCTACTGGGACTGCGGCGCATGCTGCATGCAGCTGCTGCCCGCGCCTGAGGAGTTAACAGGAAATTAATATACATAAAACTGACCTCCTTGCATTGAAACACCGCTCTTGAAATGTACTGCGCGCCTGTTTTTTCCTGTCAGAAGCTCCTCGTCGGGGCCGTTACTTCCTACGTACCTGCCTGCCACCCTTGTAGCCAGCGTCACTGTTTGAGCCTGGGGAAGTCACTGGAATCCGTCGAGCTCTCGGCGCTTGCTGGGTAGTGATTCGCGCTGATTCCTGGCATGCGTCTTGGATTCTTTGTGGCTTGGTGTTGAATAGCGGTGCTAGTCCCCGTTGCCGCCAGAAGGCATGCACTGTGTTTGAGCAGCGTGTCTGGTGCCAGCGGATTGTCAAACATCAAGGGCCACATGGGCGGCCCCCTGGGGGCCTCTCAGGCCCTTAGGGCCCCCCTGAGCGGCCATGTGCGCTTGCCGAATCCTCTGGTGTATCTTGACGTCTCCGTGGGCAGCAAGAATGCAGGAAGACTAGTCTTTCAAGTAAGGTGCAACTGCGGATCCCGCCATCGAGAGTCCACCCTTCTGCTGCTGCCATTGCTGCTGCACTTGTTTGCGCTGCACTAGAGCTTTCCTTTTGGCCTCCCTGCCGGCAATTCTCTTGCAGGCTGTTCACTGCTGCGTCTGCCGCAAAGTCTCGCAACTCAACTTGTGGTTTCGTGACCGCTCAGCTTTTTGCCGACCAGCTTCCGATCACTGCCGAGAACTTTCGTTGTCTCTGCACAGGTGTGCATGCCAGTAGGAGCCACAGCAACAACAGCGACAGCAGCTGCCTCTGAGGCAATGCGAACACCTGGCGAGAAGTGGCCTAAATACGTTTGCGGCAGCAGCGCCAGGTGCAACAACTACGGTTGCGCATTTGCTCTCTTTGGGTGTCGCTGTTTTTGTTGTTTTTGTGCATTAGGCGAAACTGGCCTGGGATACTATATGAGACCACGGTGGTACAAAGGATCTCCTTTCCACCGCATCATTCCGGGCTTCGTAGGTTTTCTGCTGCTGCTCCTTCGATTTTTGTGTCTCTCTTCCACTTATATGGACGTGGCGCTCGTTTGCCTGCGTGTCTGTGTGTGTGTATGTCTGTGTGTGCTTGTGTGTCTGTGTGTACTTGTGTGTATGTGTGTCTGTGTGTGCTTGTGTGTGTGTGTGTGCTTGTGTGTATGTGTGTGCTTGTGTGTATGTGCTCGGCTTGCATGCGGATGGTTCAGTTTTCCTACGCATTGGTAATAGTGGTGGTGTGCATGGGGGGTGGTTTGGTGGTTGTACTGCTGCAGATGGCCCAAGGAGGCGATTTCCACAGGGGAGACGGTTATGGAGGCGAGAGCATCTATGGGCAGTTTTTCAGAGATGAAAAGTATCTGTACAAGCATTCAAAACGCGGTGAGCTGCTGGTGGTGCTGCTGGAGCTCACCGCACGCCGTTGCCGTTCTTGCAAGTCAGCTGAGAGCGCAAGGGGCACCTCTCTTCTGCTGGATGTTGCAACGTGGTTTCAAACTTTCCGTGTCTCCCGAAGGCGACAGCGCCGCGACAGCGGCGGATTTCGCTGCTGCCCTTCACTCGCTGCCGCGTGAGCGTGCATCGCGCATGAATTCTGTTGATTTCCGAACTGCCGTAGGCCTTCTCTCGATGGCTAAGAGCAAGCGACACCGTCATAGTGCAAGCAGCCAATTTTTTATTACGTTTGGACCTTGCCATTGGCTAGACGGGCAGCACGTTGTCTTCGGGCAGCTGGAGGACGGCGAGCACACTCTGAGCCGAATTGAAGCTGCAGGCACCAAGACTGGGTGGGTGCGATGCCCTGTCACGATCTTTGACTGGTAGGTGCTGCCTGCTGCTGTTACCACTGTGGCTAGCGTTAGAGCGGTCTGGCTGTTGGCGCGCTGCGCTTCCTGGAGAACGCTTTGCGAATGCGTTGTTTGCGTCTTTCTTCTTGGTGGCGGCGCATGCATGCGGCAGCAGTGCCACCACGCGAGCTTGGTACTTACTGCTGATGCCACGACTGCTGCTGTTGGCGTGTGTGCAGCGGGGAGCTGCAGATGAACGAGTTGCGCAGAGTAGAGGCGGACGACAGCCGCGCGGTGCCGCCTCTGGAGAACGCAGGCCTTGTCTTAGACGTAAGCTTTTGCGGCTCTTGCTGCTAAGGGGCTCCGTGTTTGACGCCGCTGCCTCGAATACTGCTAGAGCCGTGCATTGCTGTTTGCTGTGTTGCAGCCAACGAACCGCCCTGAGCTGTACAGGCACCTGAGCGACACAAAAGTCCCCCCGCCAATCCCTGCTGAGGTACTGCATGCAGCAAAGCACAATTTCTAGGAGCAGCGCATTTTAGAGCTCCTTAGTGAAGCCACATGGATGGCCACGTAGGCTTTGCTGCGGCAACCGTCAGGACGCTTAGGCCTCTATTGGAGGCCTCCTGGTGATTCTGCACAGCGTTCCGCTCGCGCCTAAGATTTGAAACTGCTGCCTTGAGGGCGCATGCTGTTGCGTAATAGGCAACGCTCGCCGCAACAACGCATTTAGAGGAGCAGCGGGGTAGGCAGCCTAGTGGGCATCGTTTTCTCTTGCTCTGTAGGCACTACGGACTTGGAGAAGCGTAGTGTGCCGCTGAGGCTTTTTAGCTGTGGTTCTGGCTGGTCTGCATTGTTTGTTGACGGCTAAGCGCGAAACTCGTGGATTGCTTGGCATCCATGGAAGCAAGGCTTTACGGCACCTCCTGTAGAGGAAGAGGCGTTGGGACGTTGTGGGTAAAACAAGGGGAAGGCCCTGTCAACGGAATTTAGGCTTAACTGATTGTATCATGCAGCACAAGAGAGTTCGGCAGTCGAATTCAGATCCTGCAGTTGTAGCGGCGAGTACGCAGGAAAAGCGTGAAGGCTTCTCATTCAGCTGCAGCTCGTCTGAAAGCGCGACGACCTATACATGGGCAGAAAGTATATTTTGCTGTAGCTGCGCTTAGTGTGGTATATCAAAGGATTCTATACGAATATGCGCATATGGCAACCTTGAAGATGCCCACAGCACATATGCAAGTATGCAATGTATTAAAATTAGATAATAAAGCTATAGCCCTGCGTGATCTGCCGGGCATATGTGGGGCATGCACACGCACTGCTTCCCGCAGACAGTGGAAAATATATCCTTTTGTGTGTCCGCTTTACAAAAAGCCTTCGCATGCTTCCCCGTGAGACAGAGAGTTGCCACGTCGCACAGTCCTTTTGCAGCTAAGAAACCCGTTTATTTGTTGGCGTTGAGGGTGAGGTTCCTCTTCTTGATGTATTACCTCGACATCCTGGAGCTGCTGAATGCTCATTTCGCTGACTCCTTCTAAACCGCTTTTTTTTTCTTGCTCCTCAAAATCTTGAGGCTGTTGCGAGTCTTCCGACACCTGGGTGTCCTCCGGAGGGCTTTTCGGTGCTATCCACCGAAGAATAGGTGGGAGCAGCATCATCAGTGAATAGGGTTCGAAAACGTTCGAGGATACTGTTGTTGTGCGCGTGACATGATGAACAATCCCCCCGTTTCCTGGCTCTGTAAAGTCTCTGGTAACTGTGACAGTGTTACCAACTTGGGGAGGGGGGTTTTCAGAGGTACCGGAGGAGGCCCCTGAGGCACCATGGCTACTGGGAGCTCCAGAACCGCTGGCATTTGAACCATGCGCAGCACCATGCGACTGAGACAGTTGAGGTCTTCCCTGGTGAGTTGGGGTACTTGAGGTGCCTCCTCCAGAAGAACCTCCGTGGGAAGCGCTGCCTCCTTGAGAAGAAGCTCCGTGGGAAGTGCTGCCTCCTCCAGAAGAAGCTCCGTGAGAAGCGCTGCCTGCTCCAGAAGAAGCTCCTTGGGAAGTGCTGCCTCCTCCAGGGTGACCAGCTCCAGAAGCCCCATTTGCTGCTGCGCCTTTCTTTCCCAAAGCGAAAAGATGCGCTTTTGTGGCTGCAGCAGCGGCTGATTTCGTGGTGAGGCCTGTTGCGGTGCTGCTGGTCGTGCTGCTGCCTGTCGCTGCTGCACTTGTTGCCGTCGTTCCGCCGTGCTGAGCCGCAGTGGCGAGCAGCTGATAGCTTCCGGCTGTACCGTCGACTGCAGCGGCTGCTGCTGCAGTCCCCTTGGAGTGCAGAAGGTGCGCTAGGCCTGCGCCTTTGAGTAAGGACGCTCCTGACGTCGCTGCCGCCATCACTTTGTTGCCGCCTGCAACAGTAGCAGCGCCCTTGCAGCTGGCTGCAAGCGCTGAAGCTGCTCCTAAAAGGCCAGCGTACTCGATTGGCATCTTGAAATAGGTGTGTGTGTATGTGTTTTTTTTTGTTCTTCTACTCGTATTGGTGCTGGCAGTCCCAGCCCCTGCTTTTTCTTCGGAGCAAGGGAGATGTCCTTTATTTGCTTCAGTTGTCAGCGCTGTTTCTCTTGCTTAAGATGCGCCAGCGGGGGATGGTGGTGAGCTACGGCAGAGGGGGCTCCCGAGCGGTTTGTTTTGCTGCAGGTGTTGGGCCTTTTCCTGGGAAGCAGTCGATACCGTGCAATAACGCGTATGTGCGGTGCACAAGCGGCGGCAAAAGCACTGATCCTGCCCCAAGAAAGCTCCTAAAATAAGCTTTTGAAACTGATTTTTCCAGTGGGTGTGAATATCCCCGATGTGCGCAGGCCTCTGGGGTACACCGTTGCTCCCGCCCGCCAGCTTTTGCGTAGACTGGAGACATATGGGACAGGCGTTTGTTGCTGCTGATCCGAGCAAGATAGGAGCTCTTTATTCAATTTAGGCTTCTTAGAAAGAAGTGAAAGGAAAGAGGCCGACGGAGAAGGAAGAACGGGAAAGGATTTGGAGGCCGCTGGTTCAGTCGGCAACGCCCGCGTGTCTGAGCAGCACCGCCAGCGGCGCCACTAGCTGCTGCTGCTGCTGCTGCTGCTCTGCACTGCTGTGGCTCCAGGATCTCTCGAAATAATAAAACGAGAGGAGGTACCTCCTTAATTCTATTTCGAACTTTATATTCCAAAAATACGGCCTGTCCGCACGCCGTGCGGAACGCTGGCTGGTCACAAGGCGCAGCCGCCTCGGCACCGAACAAGCCTTGCTGCAACCCACGGGAGGGGGGCCCCACAAAAAGCCTTTACCCCGGAGGCAGTCTGGATGTTTGCCGCTTTACTGGCGAGCTTTTCTGCATTTAAGCCTTCCTTTCAAGCCTCGCTTCCGTCTGCTCTAAGGTCTTTCCCCCAGTGCCGGCTTGGAGCTCCCTGCAGGTGTCTTGCGCATGGCTTCGATTGCTGGAGGCGCGACGGCCCCTGCTGCCGACCCTCCGAATGTGTTTGCCTCCTTTAAAGCCCCCTACACACCGGACTCCATTGAGGCGTGGAGTCAGCATGCTTCTGCTGCTTTGCGTTTCCGCCTCCTTGCAACAGCAAACACTGCAGCCGGGGAGTCGCCGACTGCCGCATCCCCTGTTGGACGCAGCACCGCCAGCAACGCATGCAGCGATGACGTCTTCGTAGTTGGTATGTACCAGTTCGACGAGTCAACAAGATCTCGCTCGGGGGGCCTCTCCTTTTACAGTGTTCAGCCTCCGCGGGGGCACCCAGCAGCACCAAGTCTGGATATCAGAGAAGTTCTGCAGCATTCGACTGACGCATTCGGCTGTCTAGACGTGCGGTGGCTGTGCGGCGGTGCTCAGTGTTGCTACAGCTGCTGCACTCGCAATAACGGACTCTCGGTGGGCTGCCGGCAGCCTCGATTTGCAAAGCCACGAAAAGCGCTGAAACACCTTTAGCTGCTGCTGTAGCTTCTGATTTAGGTGTTACTTTAGCTGTTACTTTAGCTGTTACTTTAGCTGCTACTTTAGCTGCTGCTTTAGCTGCTGCTTTAGCTGTTACTTTAGCTGTTACTTTAGCTGTTACTTTAGCTGTTACTTTAGCTGTTACTTTAGCTGCTGCGTTTCCAACATTTCCATCGATGCTGCTATTTCTGTGCCTGCAGCTGTGTCATGACGAGTTTGAGGCGCCGCTGGCTGTCATTGGCTCCGACTGCGCTTTGCATGCATATAGGGTGACTGGGAAGCCCAGGTCGGAGGAGTCAAGCAGCGGCAGCAGCCTAAGCTGCACGCACACCGCTAAAATTCCCGTGCTGTCTGATCCAACGAGAGACCAAATAGGCCTTTCTCTCGATGCACTTCACAATCAGGCGCAGTACGTTCCGCTGGTTGCTGATGCTGCATAGGGCTGCATGTGCAACCTTGCCGCTGCTGTTCTTGTGTCGAGCTCCAGTGCTGTTTGTGCTGCGTCTTCTACCACTGCAGATTTATTGCAGTCACTTGCTCGGAGGGCAGTGCTGCTGTAATATCCGATTTACAGTTCCTGTCTATTGTCTGGTGAGCTTTACCTCGTCTGATGAGGCTGCTAGCTGCGCTCCGGTAAATCACTTTTTCACGTTCTCTGTTGCTTCCGCTACACTATGAGCTGTCCCTACCCTATCTATTGCCTCTTTGTGTGAAGGCGTGTATGTGCGTCTGCTGTTGCTCCTTCAGGAAGGCTCATGACGCAGAGGCATGGACTATTGCGGTCAGTCCGCATTGTAATGGCAACCTCATCGCCACGGGTAAGCCAATCCTTTGTATGCATACCATATATATGTATATATATTATATGTACATATATTGACACACACCTTCACCTGCAGAGGCGAAAAATCAGCACCTAGCTCTGTGTTCTTGCTCACACTGCTATCATAAAGGCGGCAGCATCTAACTGGCAGCAGGCCGCCATGAATTGGTGTGTGCGTCTCTTGATTTGTGAGTTCAGCAGCTGGCAATTTTTGTTAGTGCGACCAGCCTGTATATCCTTGTTAAGCAGATCCCTCTGTGGCATGTTTCCCTCTCTATTTGTACGTAAGCTCGGCTTGCATGTATTTCAAAAATGAGTGTAGGAGCTGACGACTGCAAATTGCGTCTCTGGGATATCCGAGACGGCTGCCGCTCTGCGGCAGCAGAGGGGAATTTCGACAGCAGCAGGAGCAGCACGGAGAGTTTCCCCTCTTTACAAGGAGAGTGCACCCGGAGGCACTCCATGGGAGTTACTTCGGTGTCCTTCGTTCCGACATCCCCCTCGCTCCTTCTCTCTGGAAGGCAAGAGATTTTCTGCTCGAGAGGCTCTTTGCGCGGGCTCAATCGTTTTCCTGTAGAAGGCCGACTCTTGCTTTTAAGAAGCATGTTGCGAATCCCACGACACATTGCCTGTGCCTCTGCGTTTGGTGCTTCTCTGCATTCTGCTACAGCTACGATGGCCACATTCGTTGCTTTGACTTGCGGAAGCTCCACCATCCCCTTTACGAAGTTGAGGCTTCTGGAGGCCTCTGGAGGCTAAGATGGACTTGGGGTTCCTCTGAGAGCGTGACAGGGGGCCCCTTCCTATTAGCTGCTTGCTGCCACGGGGGCTGTGAAGTGTGGCAACTACGCACTGACGGTAAGCACTTTCTCTTCATGCACCGATTTGTCTACCATCTCCGTGAAAGAGCACTTCAACAAACGCTTTCAGAGAATTGCATCCCATGTTTCGTGATGCATGTCCCTACAGAAGACAGCAGCTCCTTTTCCCCGTTCCAGCGGGTGCTGCAACTGCAGCCCCACGAGTCTATGACATACGGCATCACACAGCTCTGCTGTCTGCCTCGAGAGCAGCTTCAACAACAACAGCAGCTTCAACGGCAACAGCAGCCTCAACAGCAACAACAGCAGCTTCAACAGCAACAACAGAAGCTTCAACAGCAACAACAGCCTCAACAGCAACAACAGCACCAGAAGAGTAGGAGAGTGTTGCCTTTCATTGGTGCCTCTGTCGGGTTCTACGACAAGAGTATTTGTTGCTGGCAAGACGCAGTCCCTGCTGTTAGTCACCGGGAACACCAAGCGAACTAAGCGCCCTCCCAGGGTGTCCTAAAGGCGTTTTTGACAAAAGAAAAAAGTTGGAATTTTGTTCGCTGCAAAGTGCTGCTCCTGACTTTAGGCTACGTCAGAGGAGTATCTGGGGTGTTGTGATTTTGGCGATGCAGTGAGGCAGGAGCAGCAGTCAGCAGCACCAGCGCTGTCGCCGTTGTGGCCGGGAGTCTCCAAGGGTTACTCTAGGCGATACTGGTAGGTAGGTGGGGGCAGTAGCTGACGTACATAGCAACGGTGGAAGTACCTGCTGTTGTGCCGGCAGTGCGGTGGCTGCTAGTGCTGCAGGAGCAGCTAGAGACACAGTCAGGGGGCTAGGGACGGGCAGACTATAGTACGAAACTGGTACAAAAGGCGTATCCAACGGCCTTGTCCAGTAAACAGGCCCTAAATTATCCCCATATACTGCCGTAGAGGGGCCCCCAGCTGACCCTTGCAGCATTGGTGTTGTTGCAACCGAAGGGCACCCACCATTGCAGTCCCATACGGGAGGATACTGCTGCCAGCTGTAGTTTCCTGTAGCATCACCGGCACAGCGAATTTCTGGGGGCAGCGTCAGGCGCAACAGCAAGCGAGGCAAGTGAAGCAGAGGCAGCAGCAGTAGAGGCACTGCTGCCAACGAAGCAGTGCACACTAGGGACCCCAGATTTCCCCCCTCCTTTTGCAAAGTTTATGGAAGTATCCCGGGTAGAGATGGGTGAAAGAAAAGTTGCTTGCCTGCTTGCTGGTGCTGCTGTGTGAGCAGCTCCTGCTGCTGCTGCAGCGCCACATGCTGCTTCTGCTCAACACTTTTAGTGGCCCCTATGGCCGACTCTTCCCCACCAATGGAGTATCCAGAGGCCTGCTGCAACAGGATTTGGTCTCGTTGCTGCTGCAGCAGCTGCTGCTGGAGGGGCTCCATCAGCACACCCACGGTTCCCCTTGATGGCTACAGCTGTTGGATGCCAAGAGCGCCAATGTGTGCAAATGCCGCGGCTGCTTCAGGTTTCTGTGCGTCCCTCCGCTCAATGACCTCTCTCGTTCTTGTTTTTATCGCGGCTTCAGGTGCTTCTTTAGCACAGCAAGCTGATCTGTGAAAACGGCTAGTCGAGCAACAGGAGTGGAGGCGACAACAATGCCGGCCACGATGTCTGGTGGTTCCGAAGACAGTAGCAGGGTGAGTTTAGCCTAATAATTGCGCAGAGGCATCGTGAGCTGCATTAAATTTCAGCTGTTAACAGCAGAGGCAGCAGCACTAGCAGACACAGACACCGCCGTCGGGGGCTGCGGGTGACCCCCAAGGCTACCGCAGGATCAGAGACATACGACCGCAAGGTACTGAAACGTGAAACGCCTCTACACTTAATTTTTTTTGCAAATGCAACGGCTTCTACTGCGTTTGCAACTACCCCTCGTATGCGCTGCTGCCTACCAGCGGCAGCGGAACCGCAGCACTGGCATCTTCACCAGCAGTGGCAGCAGCAGTAGCAACAAACTCGCCAGATCTATTGAAGCAGCGTACCAATAAATATTCTTTCATGCTACAACTGTTGTTCTACTTGCTTTTGCTCTTGTTGTGCTATCTGATATCATTGCTGTTGCTGCTGGTGCTACTGCTACGTCCAGAGGAACCTCGATTTTAGAATTGGTAAATATGCGGTAATACAAACTTTTGGATACTGCTACCGTAACTGCATCTTGCTGAGTGCTTCTGTTGCTGTACCCTTGCGATTTCTCGAATGCTCGGGAGGATCTTGGGAACCAGGTTTAAACAAACGCGCTTGCAGCAGAAAAGGGATTTGAGATAGAAACTAAGGTGCTGCCTTCGATCCAATGACCCAATTAAAAAATAGAGGGAGCTACTTCTGTGCTCGCATATGTTGCACACGCTGCCTTGCGATCTCTCCTGTTCGCTTGGCGTGGAAGGGCGTCCCTGCGTTTGCACCCGACGGCGTTAAAAGACAAACACACAAAGTATACGCTGAACTTTTATCAAGAATTCGCTGCGTGTTCACTGCATTGGCCATCCATTATTCCATTATATGCATAGCACTGTTGGGATGTTTTAATGCTTGGATCATGTACTTTGCATGTGACGGGTCAGGCCATATCTTTCTTGTGCAGGAAAAGCAGTACCATGGTACTTTCTACTGCCCTGACTAAATTTAGTTTTAAATTGGTAAGCAGGTGACTGTTTGATTTTGGCTATGTCTGTATCGTGTTTATTGCCTAGAATTGTTAGCCTGGAATGATACGAAAACATATTGCATGCGTATTCGCCAAGTGGTAAGTGCAACAAGCTGTAAATGCTCGGATACCGAGAGGGTGCAGCTACGCAGACCCTCATTGTCCCTATGGCCTCATATCATAACCCTGAGAGGCGCGGGCACAGGAAGGATGAAGTTTTGGTGAAAAAATCCTCGATTATTCTCTATCAAATTTATTTTGAGTCTGGACTCAAGCGTCTTTCTAGACTTCGGATAGATCGTTACACTTCACACCTAAGAGTCCTTAGGGCTCCAACCTGTGGGAATAGAGACAGCTAGCATGCGCGATACTGCAACCTCCTAGAACTGGGAGCACTCCTAGCTAGTTGTACATTGCATTCATCCCACACGCACACAACCTAGCGTGGTAAGCTAACAATCCTTCGAATGAAAAAGACATTTGAACAGCCAAACCAAGTATCTATACCCAAGCAATTTGCTGCATCAAATAGATTTTATGCATTAGAACGTGTCTAGATGTAGCTTGGTCCGCTGAACCTTCCCCTTCAACCCTGTCCTGTTTCAAAGCGCGCGCTCTCCTGCCCTGTTCTCTGTTGATCGAAACCAACCACATGCAGGAGGGCGGATGGCTTCTCACCCCATCTCTACCATACACGCAGCCAGAGAACCCAAAAAAAAGTGCGAAATGAAAAGCACAAAATAGATGCGTCAACCGCTGAAGTGGAACAGAAGGAAAGAAGGACACATATGCTGGCAAGCAACGTACGGCGGATCAAACAAACACGACGGTGGCCGCCTGATGGCCCATTATCGCTCGATCACCAAAGTAGGTGAAAAATCTGCAACCAAAGAAGACAAGTAAGTGGCAAAAGAGTGTCGAAATACCCACTAGCTCAGCAGTATATCCATGCCTCAAAAAGCAGTATCCGCATACCACTACAGCCGACACGTTCAACATATTCTATTTCAAAGCAAGAATCATGTAGAGACAACATGGCTGGGAGTGAGTGCACATAAATTTGAGTGTAGTGAATACCTTGGAAGTAGCAACCGGCAACTTTTAAAAATACTTCTAAATGAACGTAGCTGTTTCGGGTCGAGTATGATCTGGGAAAGTACTCTTGCCGGGAAATGCAAGGAATTCTGTTCGCATTGACTAGCATTGTAACACAAATAGTGCTACGCAAAAATTTGCCCGCAATACAGCCCGCAACTGGTCTTCCGTCAACCACTGGGCTTGCGGGTCCCCACCCCTTTTCGCTTGAACTTCCGTCGTGTCCGTCCTCGGCAGCGAGAGTCCTAAAATTCAGCACGTACAAGGCTCCCCGTGGGGAATCCGGCCCCTTCGGGTCACCTGCTTATGGCAAAGTTTGCGAGTGACTTGAAGATTTTCAAAATGTTTAAGAGGTAACCAGTACAGATAAACCTGTAACACCGCCAACTTTGGGAAAATCGATAAGGTAATTAGCAGCATACACCCGTGAGAGGGTTGCAAAAGCTTCTGGCTACTTGCTCTCAAATGTCTCAGTCTGATAACATTCTGTTGCCCCTTGTACACCCTGACAATCCACCACGACCAACTATGCAGATAGCAATCCACCACCGCTTATCATTCCATGCACGTATCTCCTATGCTTTGCAAATATATTTGTGTGCACCATACTGTGTTTTCCCACATATTTCTGCAGCCAAGAGTAGATGCTGGCCCTGGACCATGAGGTCCACGCCTGGAGCGGATTGGGGCTCCTTGTATGAGACCATCGATGGGAGAGAGTAAGTGGGTAGACGAATAGTTTGTTGTGTTATACGCCCACTTAGCACGAGGGCTAAAAGCAAAACACACAACTGGAACTATGTAGTCACAAAACTGCAAATACTACAGTGCAGTGCGTTAACGTGCTCTCTCTGTCCGCGTTTCTCAAGGTGGATTGTGTGGTCACCTTAATGTCAATGTGTTGGCCGTCCAGAGAGTCACGCCAGAATGCATTAACAAAATTCGGATCTTTATGCGTAATGGAGTTCCTGTTGACTCCATTAGGGGCCCAGGAATTACGTGAAAATTATTAAGCGACTTCGTGAAGCCGTGACCCAACTAGAACAAAGGAGGCTACGGGCATTTTCGCTGAGCCAGTCGACAACGAAGTATACGCTATCTTGACCCTTGACCTTCGGTAGTCCAGCAATTGTGCACAAGACAGATCAGTGCATATTTTATCTAGAAGCAAAAAGGCTTTGCGAAAGCTTTGGTTAAGGAGACTTGCCAGGCCTCAGTTACCAAAGATTGAGGAATGACAGTGCATGCTCCATTGCTGCGCTATGCGACCCGGGCCACCAAAAGAATAGTGAGAGCGTCCTTACTATGATGTGAATTTCATTATGGCCTGAAAGACATAGTCATGTGCTGTGTGCGAAAGCAACGCTGTGGGAGAAAATAGACGAAGTCGGCGCTTCGTTGTGGAATACAGCTGGTCATGCTACTCGTGGTAGTGCTTCACCCTGCTGCCACTCTAAATTTTGGCAGAATGGAGGGCTTATGCTCTTAGAGAGCACATCTACTGCGCATCGTTAAAACCAACTTCAAAGAGTAAGTCAGTGAAATGTCGCGAGAGCTCAGCAGCGACGAATTCGCTAATGCCCTACATATACTTCACCGTATAGTCACACTACCGTGACCCCAACGCCAGCGAATCACCCCAGGACTAGTAAAGTCCTGAAACCCTTCCTAAGGTGCATCAAAAACTGATGGACTGTCTGGCCTACAAACGGATGCCTATTCAAATACTGCGGACAATTTTCCTGCTTCCCACCACACCGTGAAGAGCTCCTTTTCCCCTAGTCTATACCGCTGTTCGGTTTTGATGCTGAAAGATAATAGAATCAACAGCTAAGTCACTAGCATCAGCTGTTAGGAGCTTATTTGGGCAGTGCAAGGACCGGAGGTGCTGGTATGTCCCCAATAAGCATTCTTCATGCGACATCAGGCTGCGTCGTCCAGGTCATGGAGTATGCCTTCTCGAGCTGATCAGTGAACGGGGCAGCGCTAGGACCGTTATTGCGGTAATAGCTTTCTGGTCTAATATGGTAGCTCAGAGAATTTCTCAGGGTCCTTTCGGGTGCGCAAAAATGAATGGTTCAGTTTTAAACAAAACTGCCTCAATCCCTGCAAGCGAAAGCAAAATTCAAGCACACTTGTTTTTGTGAAACACACTTTTGTGGCCCCATCCACTACCTTTTATCTCGCAACAGCTGAAGCGCATGCCGTAGGTGATGGAAGTGCTCTTGACAGCTCGGGCTGAACAGTCGGTAGTCGTCCGTGTAGAAATCGACGGCCACCCACCGCTTCCTGGGTGGCTCGCAAAAGCCCCAATAGTCTTGGCATTGTAGTTCGGCTGCGGTGTTGGCAAGTCCAAACAGGTATACTCGAGTTTGTCAATGTAAGAGTTTGTCAATGTAAGAGTTGCACGCCGTTTTGTTGCACTCATCCGGATGAATGGGGATTACTACGGGGGCACCTGGTTGGAATCGAATGTCAAACAGACTGCTGATCTCTTTACTTCGTCAATTACTTCGTTCATAGTGGCAGCGAGAATCCCTGCTTCATAGCGAACCTGTTCAGGGGCCTAAAAATAACAAAATGAGCCAACGTTCCTCCTTCTTCGGCTCCAGTACTGGGTTATGCCCAAAAAGCTGGTCTGGCTCTGCGTTTTGCGCTTCTTTACCAAATTGCCATCCGCCTGACGCTCAGTTTCCTCTTCGTGCTGTGGGAACCTCTATTTCGAGGAACATGGCTTGAGGCTAATCAAGAGATTAGCAACACCGGCACCTGGACGACCAGCTGGTGGCTAACCTGCTGGCAGCTCATCACTATCCAGCACAACCTCGAACAACTCCTTGATATTTGCCCATCCCTACTGTCAGGAGACTACACTAAGGAAGCAACTGAATTTCCCTAACGATGGACCTCTTCCGAAATCGTATGACGCCTGGATGTTGAGAATCATCTCCCCCAGATGCACTGCTGAGGCGCCTTCACGAAGGCCCTACCTCACCTTGTTGAAGTCCCGATTGTATGCCGCTCACAGTGAATGAGCTGAACGCTGCTTCTTCAAGGCGCTTCGGCACGCACAAAACTCGAACGCGAGAAGCTCTGCCCCCAAGTGTGCCTTTAATCGGGTTACACTTGGCATTCCCACGATAACGCAGTGGTACGCAGGTCCAACATAAAAGTATTTGACGATGTCAATACGACAGGATTCTAATTAAGAGACGCACTTAGCGGCAGCACCCTTGCGAATTCGTGCGTTCTGCCGCCCATCAACAAGCCAGAGTATTAGGCACTGCGCGAACGAGTTAACATGCAGACTGCACATTTGCGTCGTCTCCGATTTAAACAACCGCTTGCAACCCAGTGACAAACAACGCCAGCGATTTCGAACCATTTATGTGCGCTTGCATCAGCGCAAAGTTGACCGATGGAAGGTACCCAGCTTTGGCTATGTCCATCGTAGCCCCCTTTAAGGCTCCACAGCCTCTGTCAGGGCATTTTCGGCTTCCCTGATGTGCCTTCTTTGCTCGTCAGGCATCCTGCTTTGGATATACCCGGTCCCACAGTTCAAGTTCTTTGACTTTTGTATGCTTGTGTAATTCCGGATTATCTGATGCAATTTTCCACAATGGGTGCACGTGTGTCGCTGGGAAGCTGCTTGCCACTGATAAGTACGCTATTCGTCTACATTAAGGCTTTCGCAAGCCGAACTTTCATATTTCGTGGCATCCCAACCTATCGATACATTCTCCTGCTTCAGAATTCTTCGCTCTCTCTAGCTTGCTGTTGCGCTGATCGCGGGGGCTCTGCTAAACAACATGAGCTGTAGTAGTCCCTTCAGGTTGGCGACAACCTGCTAACGATTTGAGTTATACTGTAAGTATTTCTGTCTCTAACAATTATTTCTGCACGGAAAACTCGTTTCCTTTGTCTTGGGGAGCAAAACGCGACGTACATTGCCAAAACGCTAACGATGCCATCGGAAACCCGGCCATCCTTGCGGCCGTCACACTTTACTGGTCGTACAACCCCACCGACGCATCCTTAAGCATTGTCTGTTGACGAATCATGCGTTTCTTCCAGCTACAGAGCTGTTGCGTTCATATCACCTTGCATGCCGGCCTCTGCCGCTCAAACAGGCATAGTGTCGCCGTCTACCTCCACCGCCAGACGGCTTTTTCCTTCCGTATGTTGTCCAATAATGTGACTTTTGAAATCACGAAAATGATTTGATCGACCCCAGAAAACAATTGTGGGGGCTTCTGACACCCCACTGCATCTACAGTCCGTAGATAGGACGAGAGGAGAACTGAACCACTGCATTGAACCACGACGTGCTACCTACTGCAGCTGTCTATTGAGGAAACTCTGTTTATGGAAAGTTGACTTCTGAATTACTGCAAACGTAACAGAAGGCTGTTAGAATTTATTCAAGTGCACCTTCTTTCCCCCGCCAGTGCCCCTCCAAGTTCCAGACATAAGGGAAAAGGGTTGCCAAATATGCATGTATCTACGCCCTTTAAGCACTTCGCACCTTGACTCCTGGCTGCAGAAAGCATCTAGCGCACACGGCCACAACATTGCGTCTTCATGTAGCATGATAACGGTACTCCGCAACAAACGAGATATGCAGGCAGACAAACGAATAAGTCAGTTTTTAGAGAATTCTAGGCTCAATCGAACTAGCGCAGTCGCTTGTTTCTATGTGTAGAACATCATGCTGCTACAGCTACATGCTGCTCTACAAGAAGTTAGAGAGTATCTCGGATTTTCCGACTTGTGCCCTGCCTGAGGGACATAGTGGAATGGCAGACAAGCAGGAGAGTGTCAGCATTAACGAAAAAAGTAGAACAATTTCTTAAAATTGGGCCGGTAGTTTGTTACCGCATGTGATAATTAGGAAGAGGGTCGTCGCAGTGTATTATAGAAGCAGTAAGATCCCGCCACGGGAAATCCGTTGGTCTATTTTCATCCTGCTTTCAGGGATAGGGAAATGGTAGTTTTACGAAATAGAACTTGTGTAATATTGGCTTTCTGATTTTAAGCGGGAAAGACGCAGGAACACATACAAGACAGCAGCCAGCTTTTCACCCGTGAGCCGCGTACCGCGCTCAACGTAATAGCGGCTGCTTTCAGTTTGCCGGCTGTGAGGACCTATAATTACACATGCTTGACTCAACTATTAAGAACTAGCGGAAAATATCATTCGAAAATCATAAAATGCACAAACGTCACCCTGCTGCCCTCCACGCCGACGGCCAGGTTGACCTTTTACGCGCATGCAGCGGCTGCGCTAGTAGTGGATACGGCACTTACATTTGTTGCTTTTTTACCCCCTAGAAATCCAGCCGCCAATGTGCGATTCAAGTAGTGCCACACCCGTCTTCTCTTTATGGCAAGACCGCTTCTAGCGCCATAGCCTAGGCCAGCACACGCGAACGGGGACGTCTGTATTTGGCTCACTTTTATTCTTAGAAGGAGGCGCTGTTTCATGCGAAGGTCGCTGGCAAGCAGCTCTGCTACCGCCTCGAGACGGCGGAAATACTTGCTTGGCAGCGGTCCCCCTAGCATGGACTCTCCAGTGCTGCAGTCGAAGCAGCAGCTCAGCGGCAGCCTTGAATCCACGAAGCCTCCTAACAACACACCAGCGCTCTCAGCAGCAGCTGCAGCATAAGCTGTCTTTGAGGGTGGAGGGGGGAGAGGTAGGCGCACGCCAGCAGCAAGAATTGCGGCGGAGTTGGTCTCTAGAAACCGTGTCGGAAGGATTATGAACCGTCAGCTCTTCGGTAAGAGAGTCTTTCTGTTCTTGCGATGTGCATCAGCTCCAAATTCCTTTCGTATTCTTCAAGGGCTAACGCCGCAAGGTTACGGCAGGGAGGGCTTTCGGTTTGGAGGGACCAGCTCGCGATTCTTAAAAGAACTGGTGTTCACTTTGACCAGTCAAAGGCTGAGGGTATATGTGTATGTGTATGTATATGTGTGTGTATGTGTTCGTGTACATACATATATATATATGTATGTATGGGTGTATGTGTGATCGAATATGTGTACGCGTGTATGATTGTGTACAAATATGTGTGTGTATGTGTTCGTGTACATACATATATATATATGTATGTATGGGTGTATGTGTGATCGTGTATGCGTGTATGCTTGTGTGTATACATGTGTGTGTATGTGTATGTGTGTGTATGTGTGTGTGCTTTGCGTCAGCCCTGGAGAGATTCAATGGCAAAGTGGAAGACGAAACCTCCCTGGAGCGCCTGCAGCGATTTGCGGGCAGCAAAGTGAGTCGGTTTTGTATTTAGCTGCTATGACTCCGTGTCGCTTGAGTTAGATTCCAGACATCTAGCGCTTGGGGGGGCGGAGTGAACCTGACTACGAGGTTTGCTAGTCAGTGTTGCGCGTAGAGCGAGCTGCATTTTTACGGCGCAGCAGCCAGGTAGCCCTTTCGGGTGGCATGTTGGCTAGCTAGCTGGCTAGCTAGCTGTTGGCTAGCTAGCTGGTGTCCCTTCGCCCATCAGCGGCTGCTTTTTTTGTCGGTATGGTGGCTTATGGAAGGGAGCAGAAGGGCTGCAATTGCAGTTTTCCGATTTGAGCGTATCCCGCAGAGGCGTTTGAAAGTGTGCGCCTCGTGATGCCTGTGTGGCTCTTCTTGGAAATGACGCAGACAGCGGGGAAAAGAGGCGGAGGAAAAAGGGGGAACTTCCCTAGGCACAGACTTTTCTGCAAGCCCGCACGCAGCCTTCTTCACAGCCGTGTTTTGTGGTGTGTGCTTCTGTGACAGCTTGCTTCCCAGCGGGTGCTGGCTGCAGACTTACTGGTGGAAGTTTTGTCAGAAGGCGCAGCAGCAGCCGAGCGCCTCGACGTGCTGCAGCTGCTGCAGCAGATAGCTCGCTTGGGGCCCCAGCAGCAGCAGCAGCAGCAGCGGCAGCAGCAGCAGCAGCATTGCCACGCCCAGCAGGATGGCAAGTGCAGTGCTGCTGCTAGCACGAAGAAGAGCTTCTCCTTCGTGCCTTATGCGCTTGGAAAATCGATTGCGCGAATGGTGTTGGGGGGGGGCCCCCAAGAGGGGAGGCTGCAGGGGGGGCCCCCCGGAGGGTTCCTCGATGACAGGGCAGCCAGAGAGGCGCTTTGCGCTCGCGGAGGAGATATTGCTGCATGCGTCATTCAGGCGAATCCAGACAGAGGGTAGGAGCTGGATTTTAACTGGGTGGTTCTGCAAAAGCTCGCACGGAGACTGGACGCTCACGGGCGGCTCGCACCGACAAGGCCTCTTTGTGATTTGTGCGCAGGTACACCCAAGTCTGCGAGGAGCTGCTGCCTTTTTTCGAGGGGCTGCTGCATGCAGCAGAAGACTCGCAAACCAGGAAAGCAGCCGCTGATGCGGTCCTGCTAATTGGCACGCACATGAGGTGACTCGCGTCGAAAGTCTTTTTCAAGCGTCCACAGCGCCTCTTTTCTTGCCTTCCTCCTTCTCGCGTTGCTTCCCGTCTCCCTGCTCCAGCAATCCGGACAGAGAGAAGCAGCAGATCTCGAATTTATTTTTGTGGCTTGTGTTTAGGCCCTCTGAACGCCTCACGTTCCTGCTGCCCGTTGGAATTCGTTTATGTCAGTGCATGGAGAGCTCGCGTCTGCGCTGCCTATCCTGTCCGTTTCTGCACTTGCTCTCCGAGTTGTTTTCTTGCGAACTGAGACCGCACTTGCTGCTGCCGCAGCTGCTGTTTTTGGCTCATGAAGACGCTGATGCAGAAGTTCGTGCTCTCGCCATCAGACACCTCGCTGCAGTGAGGCCGCTTCTGCTTCTGCCACGCGCGTGTTTTGCTCGAGTGCTGTTTTTGCCACTCCGTGTGTATTAGCGCTTGCGATTCCCGCCTTTCGCTGTGCATATGTTTGCATGGAAGGCGTGCTGTGGAACCTGTGTGTTGCATAACCAGTGTGTTTGTTGGGGGTGGTACTGCCCCTGCTGCTGCTGCCCCTGCTGCTGCTGCTGCTGCTGCAGATGTCTCCGGGGTTGGAGGTGGAGGCAGTTGAGCATCGCGTGCTGCCTGTCGTGTTGAATGCGAAAGTGGAGGCGTCAGAGTTGGGGGAGCGAATAGCGGCAACTGCATGCATCTTTGATCTGGCCAGGGTATGAATGCCGCCAGACAACAACACCGCTGCTGCAGTTGCTGTTGCTGCAGTTGCTGCTGCAGTTGCTGCTGCAGTTGCTGTCAGCCGTAGCTGGCCTTGTTGTGCTGCCTTTCAGGAAGAAAAGAAGGAGAAAAAGCGAGCGAATGCTTCTGCCGCTAGAGCGAACCTTAGAACGCTTTCACTACTTGTGCAAACAGATGACTATGCCATGGGGAAGGGTCTGTGTGCCTCTGCGCAGTCTCTCCCTGGTGGCATCTGCCTCATGACGCTTCTGCCTGCGTTGAGAAGTTCCCTGGAAGATAACCATCCGTAAGCGCTGGCTGGTCATTGCTAGTGCTGCTGAGCCATTTTTCCACTCCCATCGGCGGGAGAAGCAGCTCGCAAAGCAGTCCAAGAAGAGCAGACTCCCCCGCAGCGGCTGTGGCATGCATCGCTGCATCACCATTGCGCAGAAGGTTGATCGACGGGCAGTCATAGCGGCACTCGTTTTCTCCCCAACTGCTGCTTTGTTTGGCCTGCGCTGCTTGCAGCTGCGTCCGTCTGGCTGCGAAGCAACAACTCTGCTTTTTCCTGACTGCCGTCGCTCAGTTCTTAGATCCCTCTGCTGCTCTTGTTGCTATCCGACAGCAGCAGCAGCAGCAAGGGCGTCAACACAAGGGATGCCACTACCACCACTTCGAAGCAAAAGCCATTCAGCGTCCGAGGACTGACAACAACAGCGACAGCACCATCACGCGCAATCGCTTTGCTGCTGCTTTCCCTCCTACAGTTGCTCCTGCTGCTGCAGAAGAAAGGACAGGAGCAGCAGACGCCACAGCAACGTCTGCTTCTGTAGTGGACACCAACAGAGACAGACAGGAGAGAAACGCAGCTACAGACAATGCATGCGTAGGAGAAGCATTAGGAGAAGCATTAGGAGAAGCAGCATTAGGAGAAGCAGCATTAGGAGAAGCAGCATTAGGAGAAGCATTAGGAGAAGCATTAGGAGAAGCAGCATTAGGAGAAGCATTAGGAGAAGCAGCATCAGGAGAAGCATTAGGAGAAGCATCAGGAGAAGCATTAGGAGAAGCATTAGGAGAAGCATCAGGAGAAGCATCAGGAGAAGCATTAGGAGAAGCATCAGGAGAAGCATTAGGAGAAGCAGCAGGAGAAGCATCAGGAGAAGCATCAGGAGAAGCAGCAGCAGCAGCAGCAGCAGAAGCAGCAGCAGAAGCAGCAGCAGCAGCAGCAGCGTCTTTGCAGGGCTTGCTGGATGTGTATGAGAGTCTGGCGTCACCATTTCCAACAGAAGAAGAACTGAATGGAGGAGGCAAGCTGCCGATGGGGGACTGCCTCCGTGCGATATCGGGTTAGCGCTTGTTGCTGCTCCTTGCAAAGACGACTGCATTTTTTTGAAAATGCCAAGAACGTTGCAGTTCCGGCAAGAAGTTTGCGGTTTGGGAGTTGCACTATTTTCTCAAAATGCGCTGCTTGTGCTGCTCGTGCTGCTGCTCGGGGGCAGCAGCGCTTCGCTGTGTGGTTTGGGTTTGTTTGTTGGTGTCGCTGCATCGCAGACAGATTCACGGAATTGTCTGTGCGGTTGATGCGCCTGCAGGAGAGGCAGTGTCGAGCATGTCAGAAGCTGACATGCGCGTGGACTGCTGCTGTTGCGCGTGCTGCCTCGCCATGCAGCGCCTAGTGTCTTCGCACGCTTTGCTTGAAGCCTTTCCGAGCCGTTGGTCGACGGGGGCAGCCTCGACCGCAGCTGCAGCGGCATCTTCCCTCGAGGCTGGCAAAAGCATGCTGCTGCCTATCTCCGCTGCAGCGTGTTGCGCGTTTACGTTCGCAGCAGCAGCAACGGCGGCAGGGGGTGCGTTGTGGCCTTTCTTGCGAGGCTGCATGCACAAGCTAGTCACGCATCCATGCATGTTGGTAGGTCCTTTCACACACGCCGCAGGCTGATCTAGCAGCGCGGCAACGCCGCCTCCACCCTTCTGGTCTGGTGCACAGGATGGGAGGGAGGTGCATGCAGTAGGCAAGAACACGAGCAGCCTCAGGAGGAGCGCAGCAGCCGGCTTTTTCCGCGAAAGCGCCATGAGAAACACATATCCCTGCACGCCGGTCTGCGGGCGAGTCGCTCTCCCAATCCTTCTTGCCTTTTCACGAAAAAAATCAATCAAAGAGCGCTGCAGAACACAAAACATCTGAGGAGGCTGCGACGTTCGTCTCAGGTGAGGAAGTCTATGGCGGCTTCGCTCTTCATGGCTGCGGAAGCGGCACTTCCCCCGAATGCGAGGTGTCTCTGCAGCACGCCTGCTGCAGCTGTTCCCCCCCCCAAATGGCAGACTCAGGGTGTGAAAGAGCAACAGCAGCAGCAACAACAGCAGCAGCAGCAGCAGCAACAGCAACAGCAGCAACAGCAGGAAGCGAGCTATGCCACCTGCAGCAGATGCGCTGGGGAGCGTGAGTTGCGCCAACAGGAATTTTCTGGCGCAGCAAGGTGCCTCCTGAATGACAAAGACCCCATAAAGGTTTGTCGTGAGGATTTAGGTGGACACGTCCAACACTCTACCTGGTAGTTTCAGGATAGGAAGGACGTTGGGGGTTGCTGTGTGTGTGTGTGTCTGTGTGTGTGTCTGTGTGTGTGTCTGTGTCTGTGTGTCTGTGTGTCTGTGTGTCTGTGTGTGTGTCTGTGTGTCTGTGTCTGTGTGTCTGTGTGTCTGTGTGTGTGTGTGTCTGTGTCTTTGTGTCTCTGTGTGCGTGTCTGTGTGTTTGGCGGGCAAGGGGCACATAGGCGTTGACACAGGAGCTGCGGCGAATTGTTCTGCATGTATATGTATCTGTATATATATATATATATATATATGTCTATGTGTATGTGTATATGTATGTGTATATATGTATGTGTATATGTGTATGTATGTGTATACATGTATGTATGTGTATACATGTATGTATATGTATATATATGTATGCGTATATATATATATATGTATGTGTATGTATATATGTAGATATTTTTTTTCTGATTGACGTGTTGTTGGTGGTTTGAATCGTGGTTCTTCGCAGCTCGCTGCGGCAGCAACTGTAGGGCTGCTGTTGCGTCCTCTTCCTTCGGCGTCTCGGCATCAGCTTGTCACTGTAAGGCATTTCGAGAGTTGTTGAAGGGTCCTTTTGCTGGTGTTTTCATGTAGCGCCTCTTGAGGCATGTGCAGGCTCAAGGAGATGACCAGCGCCATTTGAAGTGGACAAGATTTGAGGGAGTTTGGGGAGTCAGTTTCTTGGGGAGCGTCAACCCACGATATTTCCTAGGAATATATGGTTATTATATATATACGTATATATGCATATGTATATATAGGTTTGTGTGATGGATTTATGAATTTTTCTTGTTTTGTGCAGTCTCTCGCGGCTGCCTGCGCGTCATCGGGGAACCGCTTTTCAATTCGTCTGACTGTAGCGCAGCAGCTGCAGCACCTCTTCGCGTTAAAAGACAGAAGCCTTAGAGGTCCTCTGCTCTCTCTTGCCTTCTCGTATGCATCCCCACACCCTTTTTGAAGCAGCTTTTTCTGTTTTGCCGAGGTGGGGGCATAGCATGGCACAGCATGGCCTGTGCCTGTGGCATATGCTGGGGGGTCTGCGTTGGCGCTGTCTGTTTCTTGCAGTGCTGTCACTGTAGTCGTTCTTGTTGCTGCTGCTGTTGCTGCTGCTTCCGCAGGCTCCTAGAAGATCCTGTGGCGTTTGTGCGACGCACCGCTTGCCGCTGTGTGCCTGCGCTGATTGGATGCTACTGCCCCTCGCTGCTGGATCTCCCGCAGCCTTTGCCTCCTGTGGAGACGCTGCTGCAGCAGCAGCGGAGGCGCGCTGACAGCAGCAGCTGCACGGACGGAGACGGCCGAATTCGAACCTCCGAAGCGGAACGGGAGGAGGAGGGCGACTTCTCCAGCCTCACGTCAGGAGAGGAAGTGCAAGTTGTGCAAAAGCTCTTGGAGCGGTTTGCCAGGTGCGCCGTCTGCGGCTAGCCGTCAAATTCTGCCTGTCTTGTAGCTGCTTTTTAGGCTGTTTCTTGCGCCTCGAAATCGCACATGGCGCCTTCTAGGGGATCGGTGGGCAGGCACTACGTGCGTTGTTACACAGGGCACCCTGCTACGCGCTGCGGCAATTATTTGTCTATGTCTGCGATGGACTTATACGGTAGGCGAGTAAGAGAAAAAGTTTTCCCCTGCTGCAGTCATGCACCTGGAGCCGTTGAGCCATGCTGTGCCGTGCTGTGTTGTGCCTTCCTCTTTTGAATGTAATGCTCACTTTTCTGTGACTTTTTCGCCCTTGCCTACTAGCCACCTCCGCCTCGTGCAGGCTTCCCCACCATGCGCTGCTTCACGAGAAGAGGCGTTCATGCCCTTGTCAAACTAGATTCAAAAATTCGCGTAGACACCGAGGCGCATCTTCTGCCAGCGCTCTCCTCCCCCCCCAGGGGTCATGCCCATGATGGGTTGGCGTTTCTCCGTGCTCCTTGAAAACAATGGTTTGGTAGTGGTGGGGGGTGGTCGAGATGCGTTTTTAAAATATTTTTTGAATAAAATATATACGTACATGCAATATATATGTATATATACATGTACATTATATGTGTATAGATATATAAACATGTACATATACATATATATATATATATATGTATACTGAAACAACGGCATCCGTTGGACCGGCCTTCTTCATTGTGTGTTTGCGTTAATGCCTTTTTAGGCATCTCTCGCTATCCTTTTTCTGCCTGTATTTTCTTCGTTCTCTAGCGCGTCTCTCTGCGGACGCTGTTTCGCTTGTTCGTCTCTCGTGGGTGAGGTTGGTGGGGCCTCACATCAATGCCCCTTCGGGCAAACTGGCGAAAGACGCACTTGTACGTCGAGACACTTGCGAGCTTGGAGCCGACACAGAATGCCTGAGAACTTCCCAAGACTCTTGCGATCTGCGGGCTGCCCCTCATCCTTTCTGGCTGCGATTTGCGGGGTGTCTCTGCAGCTTGTATGCGCAGCAAAAGGGCTGCTCTTGACAGAAAAAGACAGAGAAGTGCTGCAGCATCTCCGCTGCTGCTCACTCCACGCGGATGCTGACCTGTGCGTCACCGATGGATTTGACTTGGAAGATTTGCAGGCTTGTAGCCAGCAGCAGGAGCGCAGGAAGGGTGAGGGGGATGTGCTGCTGCTGATGAATTCACCTCAACCAGTCAATGAGCTGCATTCGAAGGAGTCTCCAAAGGAAGAGAGCAGCACCACCCCGAGAGGAGATGCGTCGTCAGGTAGGGGCGCACATCCCTCGAAAAATTACCTTCTACTTTCTCTGGACTCAGCGCCTTAGCAGCAACAAGACTCGCTCTAACGTTGCTGCTACTGCTGAAAACACACACACACACACACACACACACACACACACACACACATGTGCGCGTGAACTTTCCTCCTTCCCTCTGTTTTTCCTCCCTCTCTCGCCCCTTTTTCCCTCCCCCATACACACCTCCATGTGGCCTGTGCATGCATTGCACTGCGTTTGCTGCAGTCGTGGCAGCTCTCCCCTCTCCCCGCGCAGCTGGTGTTTGTGCCGATGATGAGGTGGAGCCTCAGCAGCACCTGCCGCTGGAAGCCGCCACGGGAGGTGCACGTGAGCTTCCAGTCAGTGCCGCGAGATTCGCAGCGATGGATGTCACGGCAGCAGGAGCGGCAGCTGCAAGAGACGCGCCGATAGACACAGGCGCATGGGGGGGAGCTACAGAAGCAGCAGGTGGCTGTCGACCTCGTTTCCTCTCCGAGACAGACGAAGAGTTCGCAGTCACGCTCGTCCCCCCCCCGTCAACGCCACGTTCTCAGCAAGGATCGCTAGAGGCAACAGCAGCACCCGCTGCAACAGGTCCAGCGAAAGCCATGCAGCTGCAAACGTCTTCAGAAGCAGACGCAGCCTTGCCACGAGTAGGGGGGCCCCCTTCATCCGTGTTAGGGGGGCCCCCCGTGCAGTGTACAGATGCGTCTTCAAGGCAGCAGCGCCGTGGAGGCCCCTGCAGATCTGCAGCCGCAAGATCGACTGTGCCAACTTCCAGGAGCCGCAGCAGCTCCCCCCTGCGGTGTACAGACTTCGCAGCTGCTGCAGCCGCAGTAGCAACGCAGCAGCTGAGACTGAGCAACGATTGGCCTCAATGCAGGAAGTACAGCTCCGCAGAGAGCACGAGCAAGGATCGGCGACAGAGAAGAAGGGGGGGCAGCAACGGCAAGAAGCGCGAGAGTCTCTCCGCAGAGTCTTTGGGCAGGGTACTTCTGGACGACGCCGGGGGGCCCCCCGCCCCCCAGGGGGGCCCCTCGAAAGGCTTACAAGAACCCCTGCGGGATACGCCGGAAGAATTCCGAGATCGCACAGAAGACGCCTTGGATATGCTCCTAGGACTGCCTTGCTCGGGGAGGGAAAAAGACGAAGCCGCTGCAGAAGCGGCTGCCGCGTTCGCAGCCGAGGCGACCGCTGCGAAGACGCTCGAAGCGGCAGAGCAGAAGGCAGGGCTGTACTGGAATTCTGCCATACAACAGCAACAGCAGCAGCAGCAGTCAAGGCCGACTGAGGCTGCCTTCTGGTCTATCTCAGAAGATCGCGCCAGTGTGCAGGACGGAGAAACGTCCCCGGCGGTTTTCCGAGAGGAGGCGTGCAGGGGGGGCCCCCCAGAAGGGCCCTTTGCGTCCACTTTTAGCCCCATAGATTTGGATTTGTCCTAGTCAGTTGCTTGGGTAGTGTGTTTGTTTGTGTGCTTGTACGGATGTGCTTGGGGCGCACGGATGCCGCACGGCTGCTAAGGGAGAAGGGCCATATCTACGAGGCGCTTCTTTTGGGGAGAAAATGCCGTCTTACACTGCTCTAGCGGCTAGGGGTGGTGCACGCTGCGGCAGAAGAAGCAGCGCTGGCAAGAAGGGGTAATGGTGGTGATGGTG